GCTCAGCAGGGTAAAAATACCTTTCCCCAGGTTACACCTTGGCAGCTATTCGACAGAATCTGTAATATCTACACTGTTACATATGTTCCCTGAACCATAGTTTTAACATATCATGAAATAATTCTGTTCTGTTGACTGAACAAAATTCTAGATTACAAATAAGTTATATCATAAAGATTTGGTGTGAAACAATTGATTTATGTATTATTGGTTTTTTTTTAATTTTTTATTGTTGGTTGTTCAAAACATTACATAGTTCTTGACATATCATGATTCACACTTTGATTCAAGTGGGTTATGAACTCCCATTTTTACCCCGTATACAGATTGCAGAATCATATCAGTTACACATCCATTGATTTACATGTTGCCATACTAGTACCTTTATTTTATTCATTCATTTTTATGTGGTGCTGGGAATTGAACCCAGTGCCTCACCCATGCTAGGTGAGTCCTGTACCACTGAACCACAACCCCAGCCCATACCTTAAGCAATTTTAACACATATTACATTCTAACAACATGTATGGCTGAGGTGTAATAAAAATTAAGATGGAATTTTTTGGGGGGGTTCCAGGGATTGAACCCAGCGTCACTCAACCACTAAGCCATATCCCAGCCCTTTTGTATATTTTATTTAGAAACAGGATCTCACTGAGTTGCTTAGGGCCTCGCTAAATTTCTGAGGCTAGCTTTGAACTCTTGATCCTCCTGCCTCAGCCTCTAGAGCCACTGGGATTACAGGTGTGCTCTACCATGCCCAGCAGTAGATGAATTGATGATAGGTTAGACATACATAGATAGTTGATAAAAACAAATATAAAAAATGTCAATTGGAGAATCTAGGTGGTGAGTAAGTGGCTATTTACTATAACATTCTTTTCATTTTCTCTATCTTTAATAGTTCTTACAAAAAAATGGTGAGGAAAACCTCCATTTTGGAACCCCAGATTACAGATCTAGGCATCAATGGCTGCCAACATTATTGAGTGAAAAATTGATGGAGCATGAAACCATGATGGATTGGGCAGACAATACCCTGATCCTGCCACTGAATCCTATCACTAAAAAGTAGGGCATCAGACATTATATCCTTCCTGAGGCAATGCAATAGTTGCCCCACATGTGAAGTATCAGGGCATAAAACTAAAATTGAATCTGAATATAATGAAAATTCTAGATCTAGCTACCAATAGACAGGAAATGCAAGAGGGCAAGGAACATATTAAATGACATCATGTGGGCGCCATTAACCAAATACAGATTGTGGGGGATTCCATGGGGGAAATCACCTAGTATCTTAAGTCAATGGCATGAACACTTAAATAATAGACACAAATAGCAGGATCTCTAATACAGACATCTAAAGACCTTGGATCCCATTTTGAACCAACTCACAATTAAAAAAAAAAAAAACGTTTTTGAGATAGTTGAGAGAAATGCAATGTGGGGGTATTAGATGATATTTTTAAAATACTGCTTATTTTATTCAATTCAATAATGATACCATGGTGATTTTTAAATTCTCTGTTAAAATGCTGAATTATAAGATGAAATGAGGTGATTTGTTTTTTAAGTACTTGTGCAAAATAAATAAATAGATGGTTAGGGGATAGGCCATTCAAGAATGGCAGAATGGCAGTAATTGTCAAAGCTAGGTGATGACACCTGGAGTTTTATTAATCTATTTTCCTCCACTTGTAAATGTTAAAAAAATTTTAAAAAAGAAAAGAAAGAAACTTCCACAGCTTCACATTCTCTTCTAGTTACATCCCATTTCTCCATTCCTAATACAGCAAAACTTTGGAAGAGTGTCTATACTTAGTCTCCCCACATCATTCTCTCCTGAACCTGATTCAATGGAGATATTTGTCTCCATCATGCCACTAATGACACTCTTATCATGATCACCAGTGACTTCCAAGTTGCCAAATCTAATCATCTGTTCTCAGTTCTCAACTTAAATGGCCTTAGTGACATCGATCACTATTAATCATTCCTTCTCAAAAGACATTCTTCATTTAGCTTCAGGACACCAAATTCTGATTTTCCTCCTGCTTCAGTCTCTGGTCGTTCTCTTAGCAATGTCTTGCTAGAACATTCTTATTTTCTTGCTCTCAAATATAAGTACACACCAGGGCTCAGTTCCCCAACCTCTTCCCTATCAGTTGTCATTCCCTTAGACTTAATTTATTATCATTGTCTTGGCTATAAATAACCCTGAACATGCTGGGGATTCCCAAATTTTCATTGCTAACCCCGGCCTCCCCTCCACCCCCCATCTCATATGATCCCATGCTCAATGTGTATTGAGCATGTTCTTCATTCCCCTTACATACTCCTCCCTCAGTATTGCCCATTTCAACAAATGGCATCTTCATTTTCACTCTGTTGCTTAGAACAAAAACCCACCTGTCACACTCGACTTGTCTCTTTCTTTCACACCCACATCCAGCAGCAATTCCTGTCGGCTTTACCTTCTGAACATAAACTGAATTTGACCACTTATCACCTCTACTTCTGTCACTTGACTCCACATCATCATCTTCTCTGGCCTGGTCAATGGCAGTGGCCTCCTAACTGGTCTCCTTTCTTCCACTCTTGGCTCCTACAAGCACTCCTCCTCAGGGCAGGCAGAATGCTCCTTTACAAACCCCTGCTCAGATCTCTAGTGGTTTCCCATCTCGCTCAGCATAAAATCCAGAATTTTGATTATGGCTTCAAGACCCTAGATGACAGAGCCTTTGATCATCTCTCAGACCACATTTCCTACCTCTTTCTTTTTCACACATTTCCTTCCTTCCTATTCTCCAAACATACCAACCCTCCCAGCCCCCTGGACCTTCCTATTGACTATCTTCTGCACCTTCTCCAAGACTTGCTCTCTCACTTCATTCTGGTCTCTGTTCAGATAGTACCTCTTTAAAGAGGCCTTCTCTGACATCCCTCCCCCCAAATAACTGGCAGCCTACTAATCCCCAAACCTGTAACACTTCCTCACCGGCTTAATTTTACCTCATAACACTTCATGCTACCTGGCTTTACATTCTATTGATTTTGGAGGGGGGGGTGGTATGGAGCTTGAACCCAGGGGTGCTTAACCACTGAGCAACATCCCCAGCCCTTTTTTATATTTTATTTAGAGACAGGGTCTCACTGAGTTGCTAAGTGTCTCACTAAGTTGCCAAGGCTGGCTTTGAATTTGTGATCCTCCAGCCTCAGCCTCCCAAGTCACTGGTATTACAGGCATGCGCCACTGCACCTGTCTACATTCTATTAATTTTTACCAATGAGTTTCTTGATTTTCTATCTTAAGCTCAAACTTTATGACTCATCTCACTTCAGGATTTATTGTGACTGAATCCTTACATGATGAGAATTACATGGATTACAGTATAACATTAACTTTAGCATATACAGAGTCAACAAACTATGAAGAGTATGTACTAGAGGCTTCTAATTTAAGCTTCTACTTCTCCTTCCTAAGAAGGTGATTTAAAAAAAAAAAACTCTCTCATAGGCATGGCCAGGATTCTCCTGCACCATGCCCACCCTTTCCTAGTCTTACCCATGTGCTGTGCCCCACACTAGAATCATACTAAGGCTCTTGCTTTCTCATTTAGCATATTGTCATCAATCTCCTCAAACCAACTGAAAGTTCTTAGTGAGAGTGGTCGTCATGGTTGATTTCTGTAGAGGTTTTCTCCCTCTCTTATCGAACCTTCTCACTGCTTTGTCATGCTATTTTCTCACTCTTCATTTGCTTGCTTTCCCTCTAATTCTTTCTCTTGCTCTCACACATTCGTACACACTTATATTTGAGGGTTCATCTTTGTGCTAGACTCTTTGTAAAGACTTCTTTGGACAGCAAGAGTTAACTTCCAAAGTAGAATCCTGATGCTCTCATTGGGCCAAATGAGGATCCCTTCCACATCTGTGTATCATCCTCAAACATCTGAGTATACCAGTTCGATTTTATTGCACAGTCTTTTAAACACTATCATCTCAGCTAAAACTGTACCATTTATGAATGAGAAAGTATAGGAGAGAGTGAAATACTTTGTATTTCAGTACAACAAGGTTCATTATTTTTACTAACCTATATTTTGAGAGCAGGTCAATGTAGTGATAAGCATATTAGGGAACACAGTAGCAGAAACAAATGTCCCCACAATTAAATTCTCTCCTGATACCAGCTCTAATAAGCTTCCATAAAGAGACAGATATAGTTGAGAAGGTCCTACAAAGAAATTGTCATTGTTACTGCAAAGCATATGATATCTAGGAGGCCCTGGTCAAGCAGGCTACTCTTTGGGGAGGATTTCTTGCTCTGGACCAGAGATTGGCCAAGTGATCTCCTTCTTCACTTCCCGCTCCCACAGAAAGACATTCCTAGATCGGGTAGTGCATCCCCAAGGAACACAGCTCAATTAAAGTCATTAAATGCGAACATCTGTTTGGTACTCCTCTTACTCAGAAGTGGAATGAAGGAAGAAAAGAAAGAGAATAGGAGAGCGTGGACAAAGGAGGACTAATCAGCATTGGACAAAGAAGGCCCTTAGTGGTGAAGGCCAAGGTATAAAGTAGAGGTTACAAGGTTAGGTAAAGTCAGAGGTTATAAGAAACATTTTGGCCACAAGTGTAACACATCTGTTTCCTGAAACACATCGAGACTACCAAAGACAGATAGTATCGCATAAAAGGGCAGAAAATGTTATCTGTATTTCTTGAATATCCGTACTTTCTGAGTAATTCTTAGCACCATACCCTAATCTTGGAAGCAAATAATTCCTAAAAATGATTGGCAAAACAGGTAAGTCTTTGGAGAAGTCAGCCAGAATTGGCAATAGGACAAATAATTCAAGTATCTGAAATAATTCAGGAATTTTATAACTGTTACTATATTATTATGTTATTCTGTTTTGAGTGAATTGAATTGTTTGTCTTCAACTAATCCTTATCTCTGGGTTTGTTTTCTGTGTGTCTCTTTTTCTTTTCAGCCCCACTGTGTTCTCCTTGCCTCAAAAGAAAACTCAGCACCTGTTAAACTTGGGGGCTTTGGGGTAGCTATTCAATTAGGAGAGTCTGGACTTGTAGCTGGAGGTAAGACCACATTTAATATTTTTTTCCTTCAAAACCTGGTCACTTTTAGTTCGGTTTAAAACTTTCAAACTAAATACTAGCCCAACCTCAGTGTTTCATACCCCACTCCACCCTACTCCACCCCTGCAAAAGCACCATTAGGTAGTTTTGAATTTAATACCTTAGTAGTCATAACAGACTTTTAGTCCCTTAAGAATAGACTGGGGCTGTGAGGGTACTTCAGTGGTAGAGTGTGTTCTTAGCATGCACATGATGGTGGGTTTGATCCCCAGCTCCAAAAAAGAAGAAGAAGGAAGAGGAGGGAGGAAGGAATGGAGGAAGAGAGAGAAAAACACTTTTCAAAGGAGATGATAATTGAGGCCATAGATGCTTTTAAAGCTGAACTGGCCAGGGCTGGGGTTGTGGCTCAGTGGTAGAGCACTTGCCTAGCATGTGTGAAGCACTGGGTTTGATCCTCAGCACCATATATACATAAATAAAATAAAGGTCCATTGATAACTAAAAATATTTTTTTAAAAAAAGTTGTACTGGCCAAAGTCAAATCTAGAACATGTGGGTTAGGTTTACATTTATGGCTAATTTTTAATTTCATAGTGTTTTCCTTTTTTGGTTCATCAAAGAATCCTGCTCAGGCCATCAACCTATATGTTTATGGACAGCAAGAAAATGTGAATGCAGACTGATTTTATTATTTTTTTTTTAGTTGTAGATGGACACAATACCGATACCTTTATTTATTTATTTTATGTAGTGATGAGACTTGAACCCAGTGCCTCACACATGCTAGGCAAGCGCTCTGCCATTAAGCCACAACCCCAGCCCATGATTTTATTATTAACCAAAGTGAAGCATCATTTTAAAAATCTCAATTTTAAGTTGGGAATAAAAAGGAAAAAAGTTTAAAAAGAAAGTATACATAGGTGTATGCTAATTTTAGATTCAAGTATTTGGGGTTTTTTATTATTCCTTTCAATAGACTCCAACTCAGAATGCTACTTGTTTTCAGTTTTATTTCATAGTATTGCAGATTGCATAGTTCTCCTTTCTATACACAACCAGTCTTTTTTTTTTTTTTTTTTTTGTACCGGGAATTGAACTCACAAGCACTTAACCACTGAGCCACATCCCCAGCCCCTTTTTTGTATGTATATTTTTTATTAGAGACAAGATCTCACTGAGTTCTTAGGGCCTTGCTAAGTGGCTGAGGCTGGCTTTGAACTTGCAATCCTCCTGCCTTAGCCTCCTGAGCCACTGGGATTACAGGCATGGGACACCACACCCAGCACAATCAGTCTTTTAGTCAGGGCTTTCTCTTATCCATCTGAAAGTACTGCCAGGTTTCTCAAAAAGGAAAATGCAAAAGCTCAACAGAACTTTTTAAACAATCGTCCTTTAAGACTGCTGATGTTAAATTCAAGTACCTGACAAATAACAAATATCAAAATAATAATCTGGGGCTCGGGTTGTGGCTCAGAGGTAGAGCATTCACCTAGCATGCCTGAGGCACTGGGTTTGATCCTCAGCACCACATAAAAATAAAATAAAGATATTGTGCCCACCTACAACTAAAAAATAAATACTTTTAAAAAAATAGTAATAATCCATTATACAGGATATTTCATGCAACTTAATTGGTTTTAGCTAAATCATCAAACAGTGATAACTTAGACCATCTTCTTAAAAATGAGCCATAGATTATAGTTGTATTCCTTAAATCATTTTTACCACCTTAACTTCTAAAATTAAATTATATATAAGTTTTCCTCTAGCTTTGCATTCTTTTCCAGCTAATCCTTTCCATTAACATGAAAAACTAAAAATTGAGTATAGTTTCAAATAATGCTGCTTTCCCCCTGCCAATTTAAAACTTTCTGTCAATGACTAGAAGACTGACGAAAAGGTCAGGCAGTAGAGCACAGTTTAATCAGACTCATTGAACCCCAGGTTTGCAGGGAGCTTTAACTTCTCTAGACTTATAACTGATGATGGAATTCTCCCATAATAGTACCCCCAAAAAAGGTTGAATTCTGGTTTAATTCCTCCAAAGGCAAAGAATTCATTACGTCCCAGGACAGTTCATTTTTGGAAAACTCCTTAAGTATTAAAAGTTTGTTCTTGTAGACCTGAAGAGACACTTCTCAGAAGATGATGTACAATCAATCAACAAATACATGAAAAAAAATGTTCATCATCACTAGCAATTAAAGAAATGCAAATCAAAACTACTCTAAGATATCATCTCACTCCAGTCAGAATGGCAGCTATTATACATACAAACAACAATAAGTGTTGGCGAGGATGTGGGGGAAAAGGCACACTCATACATTGCTGGTGGGACTGCAAATTGATGCAGCCAATAGGGAAAGCAGTATGGAGATTTCTTGGAAAATTGGGAATGGAACCACCATTTGACCCAGCTATCCCTCTCCTCAGCTTATACCCAAAGGACTTAAAAACAGCATACTACAGGGACACAGCCACATCAATGTTTGTAGCAGCACAATTCACAATAGCTAAACTGTGGAACCAACCTAGATACCTTTTAATAGATGAATGGATTTTAAAAAATGTGACATATATACACAATGAAATATTACTCAGCAGTAAAAGAGAATAAAATCATGGCATTTGCAGGTAAATGGATGGCATTGGAGAAGGAAAAAAAAACCGAATGCTAGATGTTTTCTTTGATATAAGGAGGCTGATTCATAGTGGGATAGGGAGTGGGAACATAGGAGGAATAGATGAACTCTAGATAGGGCAGAGGGGTTGAAGGGGAAGGGAGGGGGCATGGAATTATTAATGATGGTGGAATGCAATGATCATTATTATCCAAAGTACATGTATGAAGACACGAATTGGTGTGAATATACTATATACAACCAGAGATATGAAAACTTGCGCTCTATATGTGTAATAAGAATTGTAATGCACTCTGCTGTCATATGTAAATTTTAAAAAAAGGAAACTTAAAAAAATTGTCCTTGTATTAAGAAATCTGTCTTTCTGTGACTTCCACACATTGGGTCCAAATTCTAACTTTTAAAGTCACTCTGAGTAATTTTCCTCCTTCCATATCATAGCCATTCAGATACTTAAAGACAGCTACCATGTCCCCCTAAGTATTATCCAGTTTACTTCCCTAGATTAATGGAGCCATGCCTTATATAAACTGGTTTCAAATCTCCTCACTGTGCATAAAGGATAGGGCCAGAACTGAATACCCTAACTACAGATTTAGTCAGTCCCACATGCACAGAGGCATTGGACTAGCACTTCTTTTTGTTCTGGGTCTTACCTTTCCATCAGGCTCCTTAAATTTCATTAGCGGTTTGGACAACCACGTAACACTACTGGCTCATACTGATCTTGCAATCAACTAAAAATCCTAAGTTACTTTTTTAAACAAATATTGCTGGTAAACCAACTCTCTAAAATGTGGTATATGTACAGATCACCCCTGTGATAAGATAGCACAATGAGCTGGGCATGGTTGTGCACGCCTGTAATCTCATTGACTCGAGAGGCTGAGGCAGGAGGATAGCAAGTTCAAAGCCAGTGTCAGCAACTTAGTGAGGTCCTAAGCAACTTAGCAAGGCCCATCTCAAAATAAACTATAAAAAGGACTGGGGATGTGGCTCAGTGGTTAAGTGCCCCTGGGTTCAACCCCGATACAAAAAAATATATATATAGCACAATGATAAGAAATAATTTGATGATTACTTCCCCAAGGTTAATGAGAGGAGATAAAATAAAATGAATTGAGTTCCTTTTATATGTTATATATTGTCCATTTATAATGATTTTGTTTCTGTTGCTCTAAATCTTTATTTTATTTTATTTTTAGTTGTAGATGAATACAATACCTTTACTTCATTTGTTTATTTTTATGTGGTATGGGGGTTGGAACCCAGTGCCTCAAGCATGCTAGGCAAGCACTCTAAATCTTCATCTTGTTACTATTCAGAATGTCATGGGCTCCATATTTTATTGTTCATCTTCATTGAACAGGAAAAGTAGATTCATTAGATTTACCTGGATATTTTCTCCATGGTAATTCTAAAGTCCATGAAGCTTTTCCCTAAATTGTATTTTGAAATCTAATTTTGAATTCCCAGAGTGCCAGTTATTCAACTTTTATTATTTTCTATGCTCTAAAATTAAAATACTTTATGACAGTCAAAATATTGTTATTTCTTTTTTGGTGGGGTACCACGGATTGAACTCAGGGGCACTTGACCATTGAGCCACATCTCTAACCCTATTTTGTATTTTATCAGAGACAGGGTCTCACTGAGTTGCTTAGCACCTCGCTAAATTGCTGAGGCTGGCTTTGAACTCGTGATTCTCCTGCCTCTGCCTCCCGAGCTGCTGGGATTACAGGTGTGCGCCACTGCGCCCGGCCTAAATATTGTTATTTCTTAACATAGATTTACTTGAAATGACTATTGTAAACATTACAATATATATTTTTCTTTTTGCAGTGCTGGGGATCAAACCCAAGGCCTTATGCATGCTAGGCAAGTGCTCTACCATGGAGCTACATCCACAGCTGCATTATAATACTTTTAAAAATACAATATGAGTAGATAAGGGATAAAAGATTTCTCACAGAAGAATCTTTCTTGTGGTTTTAGGTGCTTTTGAAATTTTGCTAGTATTTATCAACTTTGAAATCAAAAGTTACTTTCCTGGGCTAGGGGTATAGCTCAGTGATAGAGCACTTGCCTCTCGTGCGTGAGGCATTGTGTTCAATCCTTCACACCCCATAAAAATAAATAAATAAAAATAAAGAAATTGTGTCCATCTACAACTAAAAACTATATATAACAAAGAGTTACTTTCCTGTCACTTGGAATCTTTGATCACTGAGTCTTCCAAATAGAAAGGGGTCCTCTTCTTTATATGTGCCATAAAGTAAAAACCATTTAAAGAGGGCTGGGGTTGTGGCTCAGCGGTAGAGCGATCACCCAGCATGTGCTTGGTACTGGGTTCAATCCTCAGCACCACATAAAATAAACAAATAAATAAAGGTATTATGCCCAACTACAACTAAGAACTAAATTTTTAAAAAAAAAATCTATTTAAATATATTTACGCTTCCCCTATCTGAAACTCAGCTGTTTGGAGAACTCACATATCCACAATGCAATTAGGAACCTAGAAACTAATTATAATAGCAGCAAAACTGTTCCTACCCTTAAAACCCATTCATGGTCCTCTCAATTGAGCATCTAAAGACCTTCTCTGAGGCTGACCTACTCCCATTTTTCATAAAGTTGTATAGATTTGTGTTCCTAATTTACACCAGCCATTTACTCTCGTTGGAATGTCTTTTGTCATTTTATCTATCTGGTTAATTCCTACTATTGTTGAAGTCTGCACTAACAATTGTCTCCTTTTAAAAGTAGGCTGATCTTAAACCATCTGAGTTAGATAGTCCTATTCCTTCCTTTCCATATTACCAGAATCATCTGGGCTCCATCATCTCCGCATTGCACTTGATGCAGGGACTTGTAATTGTAGCAAAGACTCAGATTTGTAAGGGGTAGGAGAACCAAGGCTTATCTCCTATGTTTCCACAGTGCCTACCATGGTGTCGGAGACCTAGCAACGCCTGAGAAATTGCTATTAAATAAAAGAATCTTATTGCTAGTAAGTTTCCTGTTAATAGCAGATTATACACAACAAACTAGGAGAAGCTAGAACTGGAGTAATCATAGCAAGAGAAAAAAATAATGAAAGCCTGACAGAAAAAAAAATACAGTAAGCAAACCTCAAAACTTGGTAAACCCAGCAGCCTTTTAATAACAATGAAATCAACCTTTACAAACCTTTGAAGTTTCTGAGGGTGCTCTCTGTTCTACAGTAGAGATCTTTAATTAACATCCATAGTGACAACTCTGCAACATCCTAGGTAAAAGAGGTCAGGAAATTGTACATAAAGGTTCCAATCCAAAAGTATTGAAAATGTAGCTATTTAGAACCCCAAGATTCTAGGTAGAAGGTTTAATTATATTATCAAAGTATAACATTTAAATGTACATCTGAAGTATTTCATCAACAATGACATTTAATTTGGTTTGGTAATTGGTTTCCTGTTCTTAGAATTTTGTGGTCTAAGTCATAAAGTCAAGTGGTCACAACGAAGGAAAATTAGTAATAAGGAGTTTGGGGAAGTAGTGTATAATAAAGGTTAACTCCAGCCCTTTTCACATTCTGCCAATGTACTTGAAATAAAAGAAACATTTCTGTATATTCTTTCCATCATAATGTTCCCATGATCATCTAAGAGCAAATTCTTAAACCCAAAGACACATAACATCTTCCCCAAGAATGTCCCTAGAATTGGGTAGCCTTCAATCCAGCTATTTGGAGAAAACCTCCTCAGGATGGTTGGGACTGGCCATGGTGGCTCTGATTATTCCCAGAATGAGGTCCCAGTTTTGAGTTGCTTGACCCTTTCTTGTATGGGAAATAGCAGGAATCAAGTTGAATTCCAGGGCCTCATCTGAACCCCCAGCTGGTACCTGACTGTTGTCCTGGTACCAGTATACCAAATGGTACCCTGGGCTCTTTCCCTGCTTCTCCTTGCTCCTGCCAGCTCCTGTCCATCAAAACAAGGCTCATATCCAGTGGCCCCTCCCTGTCCAGGATGCTAATGAAGTAGGAGGCTTAACTCTCATTGCTTTAGCTTATTTATGCTACTCAAGGAAGCAAAATGGGATAATCCAGAAATAAAAATATTTCTGTAGCCAGGTCTTTGTAGATTTCACTTATCCGTTATACATTTTAAATGAGCACATTTTCACAAATTGAACCCTAAGCATAACCTCTTCTATTTTGTGGGGAGGAAGGGGACCCATAGTGATCTTCAACAAAGGAATATCCCCAGTATGCAAGCTGAGAGCTGTATTATCCTTCTCTGTCCCAACTGAGTTCAATAACCACTAACAGGCCTTGCGCTTCAGCTGGACCAGAAGATTTCTTAAGTTCTTTCAAAGCTCTGAACCACAGTTCTGGGCTGTAGATAAAGTACTGGTGCAAATTTCAAAGTAAAAATTATATTGGATTCAGTATGACAAGTCAGAGACTGGCAGAGCGAGGAAGGTGAGTGGGCTTGTAAACATCTAGAATGAGTGCCAAGTCTAGAAGGCAGTGCCCCATCCTATGGTAATCTCACTACAGGGTACAAGCCTTTTATTTCACAGAAGAAAAGACTTCCTTTGGAATACTGAGTTAAAGATGGCTGTTCATGTGCAAACAACTGGTATCACATTCCTTCCAGAAAGCTAATTTTTGATAGAGAGGGGGAAAGAAAGGAAAACTCATTGAAGAAGATGAAGGTCAAAGAGGAGCTAATGGGAGGAACTTCATTAGTTTTGCTTCGACGTGTGTCATATATTTGCTATCATTTCTCTTCAAATCTTAATGTTAGGGAGCCAGGAGTAGTGGCATGTGCTTGTAATCCCTTGGTTTCCAGAGGCTGAGGCAGGAGGATCACAAGTTCAAAGCTAGCCTCAGCAACTTAGCAAGACCCTGTCTCTAAATAAAATATAAAAGAGGGCTGGGATTGTGGTTCAGTGGTTAAGTGTCCCTTAAAAAGAAAAATCTTAATGTTAGCAAGAAACTAAGACTAGTTCCTGTTCTAACAAAGTACCACTAACCATTGTTAATTGCTACAATCAAATGAACAGGATTGCAGATTGAAATTCATATTCCAAATAAAAGTTCTCAGCATTAGGTTTTATTGGGGAATTTCCATTTGGCAGTCAAAAGTAATCTTTTTTAAAAAATATTTTTTAGTTGTAGTTGGACACAATACCTTTATTTATTTATCTTTATGTGGTGCTGAGGATCGAACCCAGTGCCTCACCTATGCTAGGGGAGTGCTGTACCACTGAGCCACATCCCCAGCCCCAAAAGTAATCTTTTTGCCACAGATGTTTTTTTCTTCATTCCTGAGCTCTCCTCTCCCTGCCTCTGCCTTCTGCCCAAGGCAGGTCTCTTGGACTCTTTCCTGGGCAGGCATAGACTGCCTGTAGACTCTTCCACCTACCTCTGCTCCAAATTAAAAACTTAAATCTCTTCATGAATCAATAAATAACATTAATTTCTACTATGTAGCATGCAGAATTCAAGAAGGACTCCCAGGGGCCTCTCTTGTGCTCAGTGTTTTCAAGAGGTGATTAGAGAAAACATTCTCCCCACTCCCACCCCCATCGTGAGCTTCATTTCCTGGGAACAGGTGATGAGAGGATATTTCTCTTGGCAGACTTTTCATTCTGATTGTGATCATACTATTATTATTTTTGGTTTTCAGATGGAAAGCCTTGATTTTATATAAATCTTTTTCCTTCATGTTGTTGTTGTTTTCAACGTAGGGCGCGTCGGGACACCTCACTTTATGGCCCCAGAAGTGGTCAAAAGAGAGCCTTATGGAAAGCCCGTGGATGTGTGGGGGTGTGGCGTGATCCTTTTCATCCTGCTCAGTGGTTGTTTGCCTTTTTACGGAACGAAGGAAAGATTGTTTGAAGGCATCATTAAAGGAAAATATAAGGTAATGTCTTATGACCATTTAATTTTTCCACTGAGATTACATTATCCTGAAAAGTTTGTTTGGTGCTGGGTCCGGTAGCACATACCATAAGCCTGGCAACCAAGAAAGCCGAGGAAAGTGAATCACAAATTCAAGGCCAGCCTCTGCAATTGAGTGAGACCCTGCCTCAAAATAAGAACGAAAAAGGACTGGGGATGCAGCTCAGTGGTAGAGCATCCATGGGCTCAATCCCCAATACCCCCCCCCCAAAAAAAAATCAAGCATTTTGAAGTTACTGTCAGCCACTAGGTTTTCTTTACTAATCCAAGTTTAAAAAAAAAAAAAACTTATGTGGCCCTTCTTTCTGTAGATGAGAAAAGGGGCTTCATATTTAAAGGTTTTTGCTTAATTTGTAAAATTGAAATGGAAATTTTTTTCAGGTACTTTTAATCATTCCTTATCTTAATTTTAAATGTATGTCAGCACAGCCAAAAAAAAATGTACCATTTAGGCCAGGCATGGTGGTGCACACCTGTAATCCCAGTGACTTGGGAGGCTGAGGCAGGAGGATCAAAAGTTCAAGGCCAGCCTCAGCAACTAAGTGAGGCCCTAAGCAACTTAGTGAAACCCTGTGTCAAAATAAAAATAAATAAAAAGGACTGGGGATGTGGCTCAGTGGTAAATCCCCTCTGGGTTCAGTCCCCAGTATCAAAAAAAAAAAAAAAAGTACCAATTTCATTCTAGGATAAACTTGAAATTCCAATATCACAGCTATGCTCCATAACATAATCTAGAGGCATTTTAATGTGACTTAAACATTGATATTCTTTGGCTGCTATGTGTTCACAGACTATCACTGACTTGTGATTTAGTGAATTATTATTTTCATTATTTTAAAAAAATTCAAAGTTATTACTGACATCATGAATGGCTATATAAGAAGGACCTAAGGACTTCTTGGAAATAAATAAACTGAAGATGAATTTCACTACCCCAGCTCTTCTACTTGTTTGCCTATAACACTACATCTAGCCACAAGAGACTAGGCGTGGGAAGCATGGGGGAGTACTGTCTGCATACGAGTTCAGGGAACTTTGTGTTGGAGAGACTCTCTTTCCTCTCGTTGTTTTGGAAACTATACCTTCTCTTCAACGGAATCACTGTTTCATTTTTGGCCGTGCCTGGCAACATAAAACAGGGTTATTAGACCCCCCTAAAGTTTTCTTTTCAGTTCCTCAGTAATTTAGAATTGTTTTGTAGGTCGTGGGGGGAAAAAAGAAAAAGATATAGTAGTTTCAGATTTGCAGTCTTATCCTTTTAAGCCCCAACTAAAGCTAGTGGAGGTGAGAATGATCTAGACTTTTGGTTGTTTGCCCTATACACCATCCACTCATAAGTACATACAGATTTGTCTTGTTTTATTTGGTGTAAGATCTCTGCCAAAATTCTGCTAACAGAGGAAGGTGATTGTAGATATACACTTTTCTGCTTGGAGTCAGTTGGCCATTAGGGAATAAAATTGGTACTTTGGAAGTAACTAAATGTCTCAGGAAATTGCTTGTAACTAATCATCCCCTTCCAATCCTTGGAAATTGTGAGTGGCTATCAGGAAAGCACAGCCTGGGATTTCTGGTTGAATTTTGACGAATCAAATCAAATCACACAACCACATAATAATAATGATAACAATAATGGTAGCTGAGACATAACATTTGGTATGTACCAAAACTGCTCTAAGCACTTATATTAACTCATTTAATACTCTCAGCAATTTATGACGTGGGTACCATATAATAAAATCTCCCACCTGCCTTTTTGAGTTATAAGCATTGCTAATAATAGAATAGAATTCTTCCTTTGTGTTTGTTCAGTTACTAACTTCCTGGTTTCCAAGGCAATGTGTTTCATTCCGACAGCGTCTGGCATTTGTCTATTTTTAAAACATTGAATAGTTATTTTTATTTCTTGGTAAGAAACTTGGACTGTTCAAAATGTCCAAAAAGTAAATTATTAAAATTTCCCTATTCCTAGGGAATAGTAAAAGTATTAGCATAAGTCAGATGGATAACAGCAGCGCTATATCATAATTTCTGTACATGGGATTTGAAGCTTTGAGGTTAATAGCTTGTTTACTGCTTTATTTGGCTAATCTCACATCTCAGTTATCTTCATGGCTTTCCTTACAAGGGCCCAGGTTTTTTTAGCAGCTTAATTCAAAGTATAGATCCATCTTTGCTACCTGTGATGAAACTCGTGGGTCTTTTTTAAAAAGTATACAGTGATACGATTCTCTGAGTATTTATTATTACTTTTTATAATGGAAAATTTCAAACAAAACAATGGATGGGGGAGTACTGTTGACCATATTATATTGTTGTATTGTATACATGTATGAATATGTAACAACAAATCCCACTACTATGTATAGTTATAATACACTAATAAAAATATGGAAAAATAGTGTAGAACCCCAGTTTCAATAGTTAATATATAACCAATATTGTTTTACCTGTATTCTACATACTACTAGATTATTTTATTTTATTCATTTTATTTGGTACCAGGAATTGAACCCAGGGGAACTTAACAACTGAACCACACTCCCAGCCCTTTTTATGTTTTATTTTGAGACAGGGTCTTGCTAAGTTGCTTAGGACCTTGCTAAATTGCTGAGGCTGGCCTTGAAATTGTGATCTTCCTGCCTCAGCCTCCCAAGTTGCTAGGATTACAGGCATGCACCACCATGAACAGCCTACTAGATTATTTTAAAACAGATTTCAAAAAACAAAATTTATCACCCTGGTGGTTCTTAACAAAAGAATTTTTAACAAAATCCTTGATCTTGATGGGTATTTTCAAGAATAGTTCCATGACATATTTTAAATGTAGTATATTTAAATTATAAACTGCTACTGCTCTTAAGTGATTATTTTAATAGTACTGGGATTGGACCCAGGGGCTTGCTACCACTGAGCCTCACCCCCAGCCCTTTTTATTTTTATTTTTATTCTTATTGTTTTTTAGACAAGGTCTTGCTAAGTTGCTGAGGCTGGCCTACAACTGGTGATCCTCCTACCTCAGCTTCCTGAGTGGCTGGGATTACAGGCATGTGCTACCACACCCAGCGCTTAAGTGATTTTAATTTGACTTTTTATTCTTATTTGCTGGTTTACTTGATCTTTTAAAGTAGATGTCAGAGACTACTATTTAATTGAGATAGGTGCTAACATTTAACCTCAATTAACTTTTTTATACAGGAAAAAAGTAATATTTCCCTAACTCTATATAAAAGATGCAGTGTCATCTTATACCATGGTCACAGGTAGCCATTTGGTATCTACACAGCAATATTCTAAGCTGCTATAGCTATGGTATTTAAAAACTCAAGTTCAGAAATCTTACCACCTCTTTCAGATGATTTCTCTATCCCTTTGCTAGAAAAACAAAATCATTCAGACCATAAAGAGTACAGCAGCTCCAGGATAGGGAAGAGAGAGCAAGGCCATCTAAGACCTGTCTAGTCACTCACTTCCTTATTACAAACTGGTCATTTGATGACAATGTCAATAGGATGACAACTTTTAAACTGTCTCATGACATTCATCTTCATGGGATTTGACAAACAAAAGGGACTACTGTTTGGAATTCTGCCTGTTACCAAAAGAAAATGGAACACCTTCTAATTTTAAGAGTTGTCCTTAACATGGAATCACTTTCCCCTCCACATCTACATCTACAAGCACGAAGCCTCACCTTAGCCAGAACTAAGTGGCTTTGCTAGCTGTTAGCTAAATTGGAATGATTCACTTGTAACTGTGATGCGAATACTGTGATTTCATTTGGCCTAAAATTGTTGTGGAGATTATGCTCCATCTTTCTCCCTTAGATGGTCACATGGGTCTCTACTGGTGAAACCCAAGGGCCTTGGGCTGTGGGTAAAGCTCAGTGGGAGAGCACTTGCCTACCCAGACATGGGGCCTTGGGTTCCATCCCCAGTGCACACACTCAAGAAAAAAGCTGTGACATTGCTTGACGCCCCTAGTACCAGGCAGCTCCCATAAGGTCACCTAATTAAGCAGCTTCCTGATGCTGAAAATCGGGAATGAGACTCTGTTCCATCTTTACCCCCTGTCTGTACTCTCTTCCCAGACCCAAGCCCTGATTTCTGGCCTCAGACATAGCCCCTTTCCCAGGTACCTTCCAATATTTTCCTCACAGACCCACAGCTTTTTTCAGAAGTCTTTCGAATAACTCATAATTCTTTTTATTTGATTTTAGTAAAATTACCATGTGGCTTAATTTTCTTATCTCCAAGAGACAAACTTCACTGAGGACAACATACAAGTGAACTGGTTATTTTGTAGGGCAATGATAATGGTACATTTCCCCTTATATACTGAAATTGACATACTCTGACCAAAATATCCTATTAATAATTTTTCCTAGCTTCACAATTGCTGCTGATCCCCAGTTTTAAAAACATGTTTTGAAATGTTTCTTCAAGCACAGTGATGTATGTGGCTCAGGAGGCTGAAGCAAAAGGATTACGATTTCAAACCCAGCCTCAGCAATTTAGCAAGGCCCTAAGCAACTTAGTGGGATTATGTCTCAAAATAAAAAATCAAAAGGACAAGGGGGATGTAGGTCAGTGGTTACACACTCCTGGATTCAACCTCCAGTACCCAAATAAATAAATAAAGTATTTCTTTAAATCTTAATTTTTTATTTTAGTCCTTTTGGGATCAAGTTATTCTATCTAGACTCTTTAGCTGAGGATCTAAAGGTAGAAACCGGTTAGCATTCTATCCTTTGATTATTGAAAATATTATCATAACAACAAGAACATGTATGGAATATTTACTGATGCAAATTCTCATATAGTGAACAATAACACAAACAAAGAATTGCATTTAAAATAAGCTGTTTAATGCATTTAATTGCATTAAAAATAAGCCTTTTAAAATGAGATTTCTGTTCTTTGCTCTGAGAATTTTTTATTCACACTGAAGCAATATAAGAATATTAAATAAGAGTAAATGTTAACTTCTTACTGAAGATAACTATGTAGTCATCCTTTTCTCCTCCCCAGATGAATCCTCGGCAGTGGAGCCATATCTCTGAAAGTGCCAAAGACCTAGTACGTCGCATGCTGATGCTGGATCCAGCTGAAAGAATCACCGTTTATGAAGCACTGAATCACCCATGGCTTAAGGTATAGGAGCTCACAGGTCACCGCCCACACTGTTTGAACACTTCCAATGACAGCAGTGTATTGATCTAGAAAGTGGCCCTTTTTTACCTTTTCTTCTTTCTGAGATTATCCCATTTCTTTTCTTCCTCTTGTTGGTCATTCCTGTGCATCATCTGTGAACAATCTAGTGGCATTCAGCTAGTATACAGAGAATACAAAAGCAGATGAAGATGGAATATATGAGGAAAGAAGGCCTATTTTCCCTCTGCCAACACATGTTCCAAGAGATGTAACATGAACGACTGAAATTACAACAGATTACAACAAATTAATTATCCTTTTTTTTTTGATAGTGAGATTGAACTCCTTTATTTCAGGTGTGATATGTTCTTTATAACCTTAACTGCTTTTCCATAGAAACTAGATATGAATTTACTGTCTTAGGGAAGAGGCTCATTTTAAAAATCCTTCCCATATCCCATCCTCCAATGAGTATTATGAAAAATTATAAGTTGAGACACCAATGAAACAGTACTGTTTGATTGAAACATTACCCAGTTCAAGCCAGGTGTGATAGCTCATGACTGTAATTCCAGCAGCTCAGGAGGCTGAGGCAGGAAGATCACGAGTTCAAAGCCAGCCTCAGCAACTTAGCAAGGCCCTAAGCAATTTAGCAAGACCTTGTCTCAAAATAAAACATAAAAAGGGGCTGGGTATGTGGTTCAGTGGTAAAGTGCCCCCTAGGTTCAGTCCCTAGTACCACAAAACAAACAAAAAGCATTATACAGTTTAGTAATTCCAGGAAATTCTCACTTTATAGATAGGAAAATGAATGTTCAGAGAAGTTAAGAGACTTGTCCCCTGTCCTCTCCCCCACAAAATAATCTTGCCCCAAGTTTCAGAAGTTGTCATTAGTGAGGCCAGAATTTTAATTCAGCACTAAGACCCTGTCGCTTGTATAGATCCTGTCCCTTTTACCAACAACTTTCCCCTTTCCTTCATCATCAGTTTTCTGTCTCTTTTGGTCCCAGCATCCTATAATTTATTTTTATTTCTTACATTTACACACATATCCCTTCTCTTGATCCTGCAGCCCCCTCTAGCTTCTGCCTCTATTTTCTGATTCCCTTTCAAAACCCTTAGAAAGAGTTGTCTGTACTTACATCTTCCAATTTCTCCCATCCCTTCCTCTGGAACTGATACTAGTCAAGGTCATAATCCTACCAATTCCATTAAGAAAGCTTTTGTTGGGCTGGGACTGAGGGCCCAGTGGTAGGGCCCTTGCCTAGCATGTGTGAGGCCCCGGGGTGTCATCCTTGCATCACAAACAAAATGAAACAAAAAAAATTTTCATAGCTCTTATCAAGTCACCACTGACCTTTATATTACTAAATTTGGTAGTCAAATTCCAGAGCTTGTCCTTCTTGGCCTATGAGCAACATTTTTTTTTTTTTTTTTTTTGTACCAGGAATTGAACCCAGGGGTGCTTAACCACTGAGCCACATCCCCAGCCCTTTTTATTTTTTATTTTAAGACAGAGTCTTGCTAAGTTGCTTAGAGCTTTGCTAAATTGCTGAGATGGGCTTTGACCTCCACCCCCCAAAGCTGCTGGGATTACAGGCGTGTGCCACCAGGCCTGGCCTATCAGCAACATTTGACAAGCATTCTTCTGAAGCTCTTATCTTCCCTAGGCTTCTAGGCTACCTTTTCTCCTGGTTTGTCTTCTGCTACCCTGGCTGCTCTTCCTCAGTACTTACTGATTTGTCCTTGTGTCCCCTAAACCCCCTCTTCACAGTGGAGTGCCACCGGCCTCTGTCCTTGCTTCTCCTTTTTTTCTCAATCTATACTCAGTCACTTGACTAGACTCATCCAGTCTGACAGGCCTTAAATGCTATCTTAAATGATGTCTCCTGAATCCAGGCCTCTCCCCTGAAGTATTCTTTCTTAATCTGTTCTACAGCTTGACTTCCTAATACCTTTCTGATTTCACCCTTTCCTGCTCTCTCTTCTCTCACTCAGTTCCCATAATGTCGGCCTCCTTGCTAATTCTCAGACCACAGGTACATTCTTGCCTTAGTGCCCTGTTTTAACCATGTCCTTTCTCTAGAGCATTCTGCCCCCATATGTCTTCATGGCTTGTTTCTTCACCATCTTCAGATCTTTGCTTAGATACCAGCTTCTTATTAGAACCTTCTCTGAACACTATTTAAAATGTGGGAGAAGGAATGCCCCTTGCCTCCAAAATTCCCTATTTTCCTTTCCTGACTTATTTTTCTCTATAGCAATAATCTCCATAAGATGTACTTAAATCTTACTTGTTTGTTAATTGTCCTAGCTGCACAAGGGTAGGAATTTTCAACTCTGGTTCACTTCTGTATAAACCTGGAAAGTATCTGGCACATAGTATGTGATTGATAAATACTTATGATTTAATGACTGGCTGGATATTCATTATATTATACCATGCTTCTTCCCCAGAACTTGTGTAAAACAATAAAATAACATAAAATGTAGATTAATAATGTATCTTAGTGATATGAAATAATATTAATTGAAAATTTTAGGGTGTACAGTGACTCCAGATTGTCTTTAAGAATACAACTTCTCATATATTCATTCAACATTCTGATATTCAGTACTAGTTATTCCCAGTTTTTCCATGAAAACAGTGGTAAACAGTTCTTAGATACTTTTTTAATGTTTTTTTTTCCTCCCAGATATGAAAATGAACAGTTTAGACAGGATTCCTATTTCTCCCTTGTTTTTCTCTAATGGGGATATTTTGTTCATTAGAAGCTAGTCAAAATACCAAATAGCGATGAAAATGGCAGCCACTTTAGTCATTTTTTAAATCCTTTAGAAAATGTTTTAGCATTATATACTATATATGTTCACAGTAACTTTCATTATCAAAGCTTTCTTGGCCAGTAACATTTGTTTTTGGAAACACTTGCCCCTGCCAACAATGATAGTTCTTATTCTAAGTAAACTAAGCTTAATACATTATAGATTTCTGGCACCAGAAAGAAAAAGATAAGAAGTGTCACTAACTTAAACAAAAAGGTCCAGAAGGCTGTTTGAGCTCAATGTTGTGAGCTGTATCTGAAATACAGATGAACTTCACTGGTTATGTGTCCTCTGAAGGATTCAATAAGATTCAGTGAGGTCATCTAGCTGGTGGGAGTGGTTTTCTGTCACCTTTCAATACTTGTCCATGTGTATCTGTAACTCATTTCAGTGAATGTAAGTGGTGTTGATTTAGAATTCTAGGCTAATGTTTAAACAGTGACTTAATTATGAAGAAGTCCTGAATAACTGCAAAATGAAGAAATAAGATGATGAAAACTCTCAAAATGAAGAGTACCCAGTCATAACACCCTCGCTTTGCATCAAAAAAAGAAAAAGACAATTAATTCTTTGATAAAACAAACCCAAAGAAGGCTTATTTAATTAGTTCATGTCAAAAAAGAATTTGAGATTAGACCAAGTAATATGTGAATGTCTTATAATTGTTAAAATATACCTATTTAACACCTTTATCTATCCAAATTAATGAGACTTGCTCATTCCCCCCCCCAAAAAAAAAGAGGCCAATGGAGATTATACTTTCCTCACAGATGGTTGAATTCTTTTTACACATTTTGTATATGTAGGCTATAAAGTTTATTGGCTAATAAAGGGTATTTATATCAGGCTTATTGATTTGAATTTTGGAAAAATCAATCAACACACCCATTAAATATGTATTTCGCCTCTAGTGTGCCCAAAGGACTATGAACCATGTATTTTCTATTAAAGTACAGGAAACATTGCTATGGAAATTTTCTGAATTCATATCACATTATTAGTGTCAGGAGGGATTTTAATCCAGAAAAATATTATATTTACTCTTGCCTCATTTGGGCTTTTGGTGTTGCTTGTTTTCTGGTAAGAGATACCTTAATAAACTCTGAAAAATCTTGTGGGTTTTGTCTACTTAGAAAATATCAGAATTCATAATTAAAACATGACTTTATTTTTTGGACTTTGTCCTTATCTCTTTGTCTACTTCACATTAGTGAATGCTGAATGGAAAGGAGACTCACTAGACATAGAATTCATGGTCAGAGATTCAGTAAACTTCCCAGTCTGCTAGAGAGAAGAACACATAGCCAGGCTGTAAAATAGATTTTCTTTCTTTATTTTTATTTTTCTTTTCTTTTTTTTCCCCATTACTAAAGATTAAACCCAGGGGTGCTATACCACTGAGCTACATCCCCAGTTTTTTTATTTTTCATTTTGAGACAGGGTCTCACTAAATTGTCCAGATTGGCTTTGAACTTGTGCCCCTCCTGCTTCAGCCTTCTGAATCTCTGGGATTGCAAGGAATGCACCATGCCCTGCTACATTTTCATAGTAGTAATAGAATCTAAAGACACAGAGAAGATTCTGTTCTTCAGGGACAGCCATTCTCAGTGGCCTTTTCTTGAGGCTCATTTTGTCTGCCCTCTCCGTCCTTGGAGTTCCCAAGTTGAAAGCTGCTCTCACACCCAGGCTCATATATGTTAGGAGGCAAAAAATTCTGACACTGTCATCACAGGATTGCCCCTTGAATCCTGGTATCCCTACCCAGTCTGCCTTCTTTTCTCCAATTTTCAAAGCATTCCATTAGTTGCTTTATATACCATACCAGAAGCTTTTAGTGTAATTGGTAGAGGTGAAATATGCTTGTTCTGTCTAGTCATTTTAGCACTTTACTTTTGAATCAATTTCCTTATCAACAACTCTGATTCCAACAGTACACTCCAAGTGTTCATTCTGTTGAATGTGAAATATTTTTAAAATCAACTCCATGGACTGGGAGTGTACTCAGTAGTAGAACACTTACTAGCATGTGTGAAGCCCTGGGTTCCATCTCCAGCACTAGAGGTGGGGGAGGATCAACTGAAGTACCCATTTGGTGCTCTAGAATCCAGACATGTCATGCATCTTTCAGGCTGCTTGCCCCCATCTTCTCAACTCAGTTGGTATCAGACTTCCAGTTGCTCACATTAAAAAGATTTGTGTGTGATGGTACTATTGACTTTTCTCTTTCTCTCACACCCCACATCCAATCTATCAGAAAATTCAATTCTCTCTACCTGCAAACTATATACAGAATTAAGATCTTCTATTATCTGAAAGATGCTATAAAGAGAATGAAAAACCAAACCACAGACTAAATATTTGAAAATTATATATCTAATAAAGGGCTGATATTCTAGAATATGTAAAGAATTCTCAAACCTCAGTAAGAAGAAAACATACAACACAATTCAAAATGGGAGACAATTGAACAGACACTTAAACGAAGAAGACATACAGATGGCAGATAAGCACAGACAAAAATGTTCAGCATTATTAGTCATTAGGGAAATAGGAATTAATACCACAATGAGATACCTGCACACATGTGTTAGAATGACTAAAATTTTAAAAATACCAAATGTTGGCAAGGATGTAGAACAACTGGAACTCATGCAGTGCTAGTGGGAATATAGAATGGTACAGCCACTTTGGAAAACAGTTTGATAGCTTCTTAAAAAGCTAAATATATTCCTATCAGATGGCCCAGCCATTCTGCTCCTTATTATTTACCTAAAAGAAATGGCATATTTATACAAAGACTTGTATATGAATGTTTATAAGAAGCTTTATATGTAATACTCAAAAATTGAAAACAACCCAGGGCCCAACAATAGATGAAAGGATAAATTATGGTACATCTGTACAATGGAATATCACTCAGCAATAAAATGGAATGAATTGTTGATATATACAATGTAGATAAATTCAGAATTATTATGCTGAGTAAGGCAATAATGAGCATATACTGCATGATTCTACTTATATAAAGTTCTAGGAAAAGCAAACTATAGTGATAGAAAATAAATTGGTGGTTTTCTGAGAGGGAGGGAGGATTGCAAGGAGTTATGAGCAAAATTTACATATATATATATATATATATATATATATATGTTGTAGGTGAACACAATACCTTAATTTTATTTTTATGTGATGCTGAGTATTGAATCCAGTGCCTCACATGTGCTAGGCTAGTGCTCTACCACTGAGCCACAACCTCAGACCATGAGCAAACTTTTGAGACTAGTGGATATATTCATTGTCTTGATTGTAGTGATGACTTTATGGTTGTAGACATGTGTCACAAATTATCAAATGGTACATCATCCATCAGGCAGTGAAGGAGATCCCGTATGGGGAAAATGGTTGAATTAGATGGCCTTAAAAACTTTTTCCTGGTTGAAAGATTTTGTTGTATTTATCTATTGATCTATCTGTCTATCTATCTATCTATCTATCTATTATTTATTTTTTGTACCAGGGATTGAACCCAGAGGTGTTTAGCCATTGAGCCACATACCCAGCCCTTTTTTTATTTTATTTAGAGACAGGGTGTCTCTGAGTTGCTTAGGGCCTTGCTAAATTGCAGAGGCTGGCTTTGAACTCAAAATCCTCCTGCCTCAGCCTCCCAAGCTGCTTGGATTACAGGTGTGCACAGCCATGCCCAATGATTTTGTGGTTTTTATACTTCAGTTATTTCTGACCCTAAATCAGTTGTAAGGTTAATTTTTCAAATGCTCATTTTACCTGACAAAACTCACACCAAATGTAACTTCATACATTCATAATCATTATGACTATTTTAGTTACATACCTGAAAATTAAAGTCTTTTATTATTTTAGTCCTTTATTATTGCTAAAAATAAAATATTACTTTATTATCCATTTTAACCCCCATATCCCTCATTTCAGAGTATTTATCAATATCATGGGATAAAGTCTCCAATCTCCTAGGATTCAATCTGAGCTTTACATTTAAGAATCTGGACTTTATCATTTGTTATATATTGTTTCTTCAGTCTTCAAAATGGTTATGTATGTTCATTATCTTTCTTCTTTTATAGGAGCGAGATCGTTATGCCTACAAGATTCATCTTCCAGAAACAGTAGAACAACTGAGGAAATTCAATGCAAGGAGGAAACTTAAGGTAAGTTAAATCAGAAACGAGGCAAGCAGATACAGTAGATGACGATCTTCTTAACAATCTTTTCATTCTGTTTTGTTGCCCTTCAGTGTATTCTAGTGTTGGCTATTGTTTTTGTTAAAGCTAAATTCTCATTTCCAAAAATTACCACCATTTCAACAATATTTTGGTTTTTAAAATCCATTAATATCTCAGTATGAATCTAAAACAAATTTTAATAACTAGAAGATACATTCTATTTTAGAAGTTTTCCCCTTAAAATTCATTGCAGACATATAGTTAATATTATCATACATTATTATTAAATATTAATCTAGGATGCTTTTTCAAACTTTAATATTTTGACAGAAAATGTGAATTTAGTTCAATGGAAATAACACTGAATTAACATTCAATCTAGGATTGATTCCCCATCACAAAGCAATAAATAAAATCCCTTGATCTACTAGGAAATATTTTCAGGTCACTTTTCTTACCTTCCTTTCTTTATTTTTTCTAGACATCTTTCTCTCTCTTGCCTCACTCCCTATCCTTTATCCCATCAAAAAAAAATAATAATTACCCCACATGGAGAGTCCACTTAACTTCAAAAGGTTCTGAAAAGACCCAACATTAAATAGTGGAGTCTTTCCAGCATTAGAAGAAAATTATATGGAACAATACTATCCTGCCCCATTCCACCCTAGGGTAATAGGAAAACTATTATATTATGGCATTAAAATTCATTTATATTTGACCTACTTTTGATACAGAAAATGTTGACTCTGCTCTTTAAGGGGCTGATTGTTTAGTAGTCCTCTTTATTCATGTGACTCCTACCAACTATAAAACCTTTCTTCTGAAGTACTTTCAGATGCATCATAAATTGCAATAATATCATTAATCTGTTATTATTCAACTCCTAACATATATGAATGATTTTATACAACTCCAAGTTTGTAAGAACATTTATATTAATTTTGGGAAAACTTATCAATCTACAATATTATACTGTAAAGCTGAAATGTTCAACATGGTATCTGGTAGCTACATGCAGCTATTTAAATTTAAATTAATTGAAATTAAATAAAATTCAAGGGTCAGTTCCCTATTCACACTAGCACATTTCAAGTGTTCAACAACCACTTATGGCTAGTGACTATATTTTGGACCGTACAGATATATAACATTCCTATGATTGCAAAAGGTTCCATTGAATGGTGGTGCCATAGAACAAGGGAAATTTTAACATATCATTGTTGATGAGTATTCCCATTTAAGCTTTTCTCCTAGTTGTTTTTATAGTCAAGAGTTTAAACTGACTCTTCTCTATTTGCTTTTTAAAAACCTTTGGCCAAAGTGATTTTTTTTAAATACTTTTTTAGTTGTAGATGGACACAATGTATTTATTTATTTATTTTTATGTGGTGCTGAGGATCGAACCCAGTGCCTCACCCATGCAAGGCAAGTGCTCTCTCTACCACTGAGCCACAACCCCAGCTACAAAGTAATTATGCCATTTTTGAGATGGTGCCCAAAGAAGTTTCCCAAGACTATTTTTCCCTTTGGTCTGATATCCACCTGAGCCATCAACCTACAAAAGAATAAAAGTCTTATCATTCCTAGTGAAATTTACTCAGCTATATTTGAAGTTAGTTTTCTTCTCAAAGAAACTGTTCATTGTACGTCTTTCTTAACTCTTCCCTAAGTCTTTTAAACTCCTAACGTGGCTTTGGCCTCATGTGATGTAACACTATGCAGGGCTGAACCTGCCATTGCCTAGGTACAGGTATTTCACCATCCAAGAGACATTCTGTTCTTCTCCCAGTGCTGCAGAATCAGACTTAGGCCTAAAATAGCCAAAGTGGTGACTAAGATTCATTTGGACAGGGCCAAGCTGTCACAGCAGAGAGGGGTCATGTGGATTTACCACATCCCTTTGCAGGGCTATTTAAAGTTTTAAGACCCGCCAAACAACCTAGAATTAAGAACATCAGCAGGGTCAATGCTGAATTTTTTTTCAGCTTTTTCTGGTAAGGCTGTATTCTATGGAGTAGCTCAGCCACCCCATTAAAACAGGTTACATCTGCCTTCCTCCAGGAACTCATTCTCATTCTGTCTCTCCAGCAAACTTCTGGAACAAAGATGGCAATTTCCCTGGCTTTCAGAGCCTACCATACAGCTGATTTTCTCAAATGAACAGTGAGGTGCCCATCCTACCCAGATACTGTTTTTAAGTTCCTCAAATAGTAGGAGACAACCTAATTTCTAGAACTCCCTTGGAAACGATTATAAAGAAAATTCACTGAAATCAGTAGAAAACCGCTTTTGCTACTTAGTCAACAAAATTTTTAGTGTCATTGGCAAAAAGGAAAAGGAAAAAGTGGGCTCTCAAATTGTATTGCCTTTTGTGTATCTTGATTCTGACACTTCCTAGCTGTGTAGCCTTGAACACATTAGCTAAACTTTCTGTGCCTCTATTTCTTTATGTATAAAATGGGTATGATGATAAAAATTAATTCATAGGTTGAATCAGTATATTTTTACAAAAGTTGTAGTAAGTGCTTCATAAATATTATTTGCTATTAACTTTGTGATTGCTGTTGATGTATTATTATGATTTTAATGTTAATACCTTTGATTGGGTACACTGTAAACAATTGTAATTCCTGAATGGGCATTCTAGACCATTTAAGCTTTTTGCCAGTCATTGGCTGTAACATTTTTGTGGGTTTTGAAAGTTTTTTAAAAATTTCACTGAGTAATCTCAACTCTTGTATTTCTTCCAAAGTAATTGTAGTTAGATTTTTTGATCGTTTTTATCATCACTTCCCTCACAGTATTTAGAAGGAGAAACTCTTACATTTACACTGTAATATTCAGCTCCTTTCCATTGTTTTGCTCTACTATCACATCTATTATATAACATATTATAGTTCCTCTTATCCATAGGGGATACATTACGAAACAGTGGGTGCTCGAAACCACAGATAGTACAAAACTCTATATATACTGTTAGTTCCTTTACAATACATACCTCTGATAAAGAATAATTTATAAATTAGCCCCAGAAAGAGATGAACAACAATAACTAATAATACATTTGAATACTTGTAATAATATTATATATTATAATAAAAGTTATTTAAGACATATGGATTATTAATTTCTGCAACTTTCCATTCAGTATTTTTATACCAAGGCTGACCATAGGTAAGCAAAATCATGGCTAAAGGGGAATTACTGTACACTTTTCTTGTGTGGTCCCTGGACCAGCAGCATCAGCCTCATCTGGGATCTTGTTAGAAATACTAAGGAATCTACCAAAAAACTATCAGAAATACCAAGTTCAGTAAGGTAACAGAATACAAGATCAATATATAAAATTGAATTATATTTCTATATATGAGCAATGAACATGCTTAAAGTGACATTAAGAAAAATTCCAACCATGATAGCTTCAAAAACTAATGAAATACTTAAGAAAAATATGAAAAAAAGACTAACATTGCTGAGAGTAATTAAAGATCTGAATGGAAGGGCTGGGACTATGGCTCAGTGGTAGAGCCCTCGCCTAGCACATGTGAGGCACTGGGTTCAAGCCTCAGAACTACATAAAAGATGAATAAAGATATTGTCTATCTACAACTAAAAAATAAAGATATTTTTTAAAAAGATCTGAATGGAGAAGTATTTAATATTCATGCATTGGAAGATTCAATATTATTAAAATGACAATTCTTCCCAAATTGATGCATAGATTCACCATAATCCCTATCAAAATTTACATGGAAATGTAAAGTTTCCAGAATAGCTAAAACAGTCTTGAAAAAAAGGACAAAGTTGGAAGACTCATGCTTTTCATTTTGGGCATTTACTATAAAGCTGCAGTTATAAGGACACTGGGGGGGGGGTGCGCGCGCGCAGAATTGAGAGCTTAAGAATAAATCCTTTTTACTTATCATCAATTGATGTGTTTATTTTTATTTTTTTTTTGTCCTGGGTATTGAACCCAGGGGGCACTTAACCACTGAGCCACAACCCCAGTCCTTTTAGTCCTTTTTATTTATTTTTGAGACAGGGTCTCACTACATTGCTTAGGGCCTTGCTAAGTTGCTGAGACTGGCTTTGAACTCATGATCCTCCTGCCTCGACCTCCTGAGTCACTGGGATTACAGGCATGCACCACCACACCCAGCTATGGCTAATCAGTTTTTGACAAAACTTCCCAGGAGATTCAAGAAAGAAAGAATTAGTCTTTTCAACAAATGGGGCTGGAACAATTGAATATCCACATGCAAAAAGAAACATAATGCCACATATTAGATGATTCTGTGTATATGAAATATCTAGAATAGGTATTTATGTTTCTAAATCCATAGAGACAGAAAGCAAATTAGTGATAGTTGTTGAAAAGTGTCTGCTTAATGGGTATCAGGGTTTGGGGGAGTTGTGAAAATTTTTTAGAACCAGACAATTGTGAATGTACTAAATACCACTGAATTATACACTGTAAGATGGTTAATTTTATCTCATGGGAATTTCACAAAACCCACTTTTTTTTACCTTATAACAAAATATTGGTTTTAAATACTGGTTTCTACTTCAGCACACTTGGGAGATATAACATATTTGCCATCATTAACAGTGGCTCACTGCACCATTCAACCAAGGGACCACGCCTCCCTCCCTCATTGCTAGGTGAATATGTGAAGTTGAAGGGATGTGTATTTTTAAAAAGGCTCATGGGTGATTCTGACATGTCCACTTTATTGGGAGTCATTATTCTAAGCATAAACTATAATGGTCATATACCTATTCCATTATATATACAAACTGTAATATAATTAACCAGTTTGTGGTCATGGAGATTGCTTCTAGTTTTCCACTGCCAGAAATGATGTTGACTGCATTTTTGATAGTTTATTATTTGCACAGTTGAAACTTTTTCTCATGCTGAAAGTCTTGTGAGACTTTTTTCTTTTTTAATCTTTTTTTAAAATTTTTATTGGTTCTTTTTCATTATACATGACAGTAGAATCTGTTTTAACATATTTATACAAGCATAGAATATGTCTTATTCTTAGGATCCTAGTCTTATGGATGTAGATGATGGTGACTTTTTAATGCCAGAATATAAAATATTACTCATTTTACTTATCTGACTACCTTTGCTGAAATTTCAAGATAATTACTCATTATGGGTATAATAGTATCAATGCTCAACAATCCAGAAAATTGTTCTTTTCCATACTCATACATTCATTTTGGCATTTAACCTCTTTAGCAGGCTATAGGAGACAACAAATTTCTAAGAAAATTATTCAGATAATTAGAAATTATTCACATCATTTTCAGACTACTTTGAAAGTATAGGTAAACAAAGCTTATGGAACCCTGCATGTGATCACAGATGTCTTTTTATCTTCCTTTCTTTCATTATTTTACGTTATCTCCGTAAGTGATGATGGAAAATTTCTTTTCCCCATTTTGGTTACCAGACATTTCAGATGTTGGGGGTTTTCCTCCATACTCAACTCTAGAGATGTTTGTTTACTTGTTTGTTAGAAGTGATAGGAATGGAACCCAGAGCCTCATGTATGCTAGACAAGTGCTTTACCACTGAGCTACATCCCCTGCCCATAAGTTTAAAATTTTAATACTTGGGTTTTTTTAATCCTCTAGAAACAATACTTTCTTTTATAAACTACGTAGTCCTGAATACAGGACTAAATATAAGGAGCATATTTTGTCAAATTGAATATAAGGATACATGAGACAAACTGTGTGACCTAGGCAATGAAGAAAATCTGTGCTCTGGGGGTGTGGGTCTCTTAAGGGAGTGCACATGCACTCTGACCAGGGAGATAGTTCCTGAAGGAGTTATGAGCAAAGAGATGTTTATGGGTATCTGAGCTTGTCTATCTAGGAGGGAATCTGTTCTAGAAATCATTTTCTTTATTTCATAAAATATTTCTACACCTAGAAAGCAAATCTCCGATATAAATAGAAGCAATATTCTGTATTACCATGTCCTAAAATGATTTATTGCAATCAGTTTAGGACATGGTAAGTTGAAACCATGTAATTTAATTAAGAGGATAAAACCATTTATTCCCTGTGTATATGGAAAGCAAGGAAGATTTCTGATGACTTTCTGTGATTTTTTTTCCTTTATTCATTTTGCAATTGCAATAGTATACCCTGCATGTTTCTCTGACTTACTGATCAGTCTCTTGCATTCCTGAACTGTGCACAAGTAGGAAAAGTTTGTTTAGAAATTTGTTTTCTAGTACTTAAAGGAGAAAATTTCAACTTTAATATTATTTTTCTTAATATATTATGAATAGTATTCTTAACTCAAAATTATGTTTCATCCTTGAAACATACTAAAGTGTACCTACTAAATTAATGCAGAAAATTTGAAGAACTATTTGTATAAGCTCAGATTTTATATTACTGTTGTACACAGAGGATCTCCAAAGTGATTATATAGTACAGAGTCTGGTAAACTACAACCTGGGGGCCAAATTCAGTTTACTACCTATAGATATAGATATATAGATTTAGATATAAAGTTTTATTGGAACACAGCACTGTATCTTTATTTATATTTCATCAATTGCTGATTTCATGCCACAGAGGTGGAGTTGAGTAGCTGCAAAATACATCATATGGCTAATGAAGCCTAAAATATCTACTGTCTATCCCTTCACACACAAAAATTTTTTGACTCCTAGTATAGTAGAAATCCTTGAACTGGGCAGAGTAAGACCTCAATTCTGCCTGCTGTTGATTATGTCTCTAAGTTGACAGTAATCTTCACATGTTGCTAAGCCTCTCTGGACCTCAGTTTTCCCATTTGCAAAACTGAATCTCCTAGAAGAGCCATTTATAAGATTGACTCTCAAACTTTAATAAAATTCTAAGAATCCATGAACTGTTTTGGAACTATTTTACTGTTTTACATAATAACTCAGCATTCAACATTTGAACCATGTGCGGTCACTGAGTTTAGAGAACTAAATAAACAAAACTGCTAGCCATAAGACAAATTAGGAACTTGCTACAATGGCTTCAAAAGAATCTATTTCTCAGGTTTCTTTTAAATAGTGTTTCCCTAATAGTATAAGTATTTATAGATCTTGGACTATTTTAGTAGCTAGAACAGGCCTTAAAACTAACATATCAAAAACTCAGTTGAACTTTATTTGGAAATAAAAATAATGCATCTCTAAAAGTCTAGTTTCAGTGTGTGGGAAATATGATTTGATATATAAAAATTCCATTACCACCCAGCTTTAGGGAACATGTATAATATGTAAAGTGAAATACAATTCTTCTGTGGAAAGAAGAACTCAACATTCACTACTGTTTTTTTTTTTTTTCAACATGGTTGTTATAGTTCTGCATTAGAACCTTTCTGCACTGACCCTGAACTTTTGGAAATCGAAATTTGCCTAAAATGGTAGCATCAACAGCAGGTCTCTGTTTTGTTTTCTTTTGCTGTTTTTGTTCTTCCCTTTTTATAGTCTATTTTTGAATTTATATTTGTAGGAGGAAAAAAAAACAAAAACAAAACCTAACACAAACCCCCTCAAAAGTTATCTTTGTGGAAGTATATTTCTATTAATGTTTTCATGGATTTATTAACAAATACCTACACATTAAGAGATGTATCTTTCTTTTCAGAAAAATTCAAGAGTTCAATATTTAAAATTCAGACAAAGACTACTATAGACTTAGACAACGTAGGTGATTTGAGCAATTTTGTGTAGACTGGCAAATGGCTGTGCTTATGTTCTGGCTCTCTATTTGTAGGGCTAGTCATGATTCCCACTTATACAATTCTTTATAGTTTGCAAAGCACATTCATGTACATTATGACTTTTGATAATCCTGTAAAGTATGTCAGTTTAGTACACTCAGTATACATATAAGAAAACCTAGTGAGATTAAATGCATTACACAAGTAATGTCCTATAGCTGGAAAGTGGCAGAGCTAGGGAACAAACCTGGAAGTTTTGTCAGTCTTCCTGTTCTGGAAACAATAATTCTCATCCTTTCTCCACTCAACAGCTCTAGGTCTGCCAGGCCCTCAACATGGCAATGATCCTCAACCAGAGCTCAGGCGGAAGCTGCGCACATGGCTTGAAAGTCACATTCAGTTTATTCTGATGTTTGGCCTGACTGGGAATTCATATACAAGAGTAACACATGATCATTGTTAAAAACAGAAAGAATGGAGGAAAAATTATTTTTTTAAAGAAGAGAGAGACAGAGAGAGAGAGAGGGAGAATTTTTAATATTTATTTTTTAGTTTTCGGCGGACACAACATCTTTGTTTGTATGTGGTGCTGAGGATCGAACCCGGGCCGCATGCACGCCAGGCGAGCACACTACCGCTTGAGCCACATCCCCAGCCCCAGGAAAAATTATTTTTAAAAGAAAAATGGCTCATAATCCTACTATCCAAGCATAATTAATATTATGAATATTCTGGTGTATGTTGACTATATCTATATTAACATTTTTTTCCAAAAATGAGATCATACCATACCTTGTTTTCAAGGTGAAATTCATCACAGACATGTTTCCATTTCATTAAACATCCTTCTGCAGCAACATTTTAATAATGACTACCAAATATTCCATTGTGTGGTACATATTTGAGTTCAAGATGTAATTATTTCATACACTTTTTAAAAATTTTTTTATTCATTTATTTATATGTGATGCTGAGAATCAAACCCAGGGCCTCACACATGCTAGGCAAGTGCTCTACCACTGAGCCACAACCCCAGCCCCAGTTCATACATTTTTGCAATTCCCAGCAGTGTTATTTTGATGTATGCATATGTAATTTATTTAAAGGGCTTCAAAATTATTTTAAAAGCTATCTCTCTTCCAGCCAACATCTCCTCTTTACTGGACTGTCTGAACAATTCTTCAGATAACTACTTAATGAACTTTTTATATTTGTGTATTTGTTTTAATCATGTTTTTCATCTCTGCTTCAGGGAGCAGTACTAGCCGCTGTGTCAAGTCACAAATTCAACTCATTCTATGGGGATCCCCCTGAAGAGTTGCCAGATTTCTCTGAAGACCCTACCTCCTCAGGTAATTGCATAATTGGTCCATTCAGCCGTGTAACTCACTTGGCATCTACATCCTTTCTCTTTCATTGTAAGTAAACTTTTGTATATGAATTTAAATCCTCCAAGGGATTTTAAGGCAGTTTGTCAGCAACCACATCCTACCTACATATGTCTCATTCTTTTTCATTTTAATTCCAAAGTGTCCCTCCCCTACCGCTCCAAAACCAACATTTCACTTTTTTCTTTTTATCTCAGTAATACTTCTTCCCCTTTCTGCACTTCAGACCCATCATTACACTTCACCTAGTCCAACATTATAGTTTCAGACTTTTTGAATCTTTCCAATCACCTTCTCCCTCAACAAAACCTTCTGATGTAAGATTTCCCCCATGCCAATCATGTTAAGTCAGACTTTGAGACAGCACTGCTTTAAAATGAATCTTTCAATGTAAAGCTGTCTTGTGAGCTTTGTCTTGAAAAGTGATCAAGTTCTTCTCTATATATAAAGTCTATAACCCTTGATACAAATATTCAAGGAGGAAGAACATAGAAGAGTTACCTGTTTTGATGAATTGTGTACAGGTACTCCTGAAAAAATCTGATAGTGTTCATGAAATCATTTTATAAAATGCTCAGACTTCCAACTTGCCAATGAGATATTTTCAAGGAGCATTTACTAAAAATCTTCCAGCTACATGTATACGTACATGCAGATGCATGTGTGTTTGTGTGTGCGTGCGTGTGTGTGTGTGTGTCAGAGTTTTACATTTTTATTTATGCATTTCTTTATTAACTTCTGAGTTATGTCATCTGGCCTCAGCTTTTCTTCTTTCTTTCATTAAAGACACTCAATATCTGTCATGTGTTTGACTTTGCACTGCTGATTTGATTTTTTGTACTCTTGGACTGGCATTTTCAGTACTCATCTATCATCATTGGAACCACAGCCCAAAGTATGAGTTGTTTGTCCCACAGTCAACAAGATGAAAAGAAGGAGTGTACCTGTTCTCTGTTGGAACCAGAAACATTTGTCATTATTTATGCTTCTGCCCTCCTCTGCTCACACACACATATGTACACAAACACACTCACAATTTCTGGCCAGTTAGTAGGTGCTTTTAACTTGTGCAAGATGACAGCATCAAAGTTTCCCATTCAGCAGGTATATAGTTCCTCATTTTGATTTTTAACAATTGGGATATGAATCTTCCTCTTTTGAGTGAAGGTGATTTCCAAAAATATTCAGAAATGGGAATCTTAGACTAGAAATAACTCTGAGGAGAAAGCCTTTCTGTTTTCCTCTTGTGCTGGCTTGGTAACCATCCAGAACCTTTACCACATGAAAGGCAAGGTTGTGCTTATAGGTATGGTCTTCCATACTCCCTATCATTTTATCTGTCTTTTTTTCCTTTCAATACATTTTGTTCCTTCTCCCTGTGACTTTTTGTTAGCTCAAATTTTGCTCTTGTGTCTTGAGGCCAGTACTTGAACTCAGGGGCACTGTACCACTGAGCCACATCCCCAGCCCTTCTTGTTTTTTTATTTTGAGACAGGGTCTTGCTTGCTAAATCACCCAGGCTAACCTTGAATTTGTGATCCTCCTGCCTCAGCCTCCCAAATTCTGGGATTACAGGTGTGCACTACCACACCCAGCTTGAATTTCAGTCTTTTCTCCTCCCACTTAGATTACATTTGACCCTCTTTAGGGCCAGCAGACCCAGAAATAGTTCTTATGTCACAATGTGACTACATTTAACAGTTGCATGCTTGGAATATAGATATAGTATAAATCTCTGCGAGATTTTAGGTCAATACTTCTACTATAATTTATTTGCATGTATGGAAATGGTCCTAGAAAACAGTATGGTCCTTGCAAATCACTTCATATACCTAATCTTTAGTGTTGGCCCTTAATTAATATTTACCTCTGTCTAGCAATAATTTAATAACTCTTACATGTTATTTTCTGGGAAGAGGTAGATTTTTCTTTGAGGGAAAGAAATCACTTTATAAATGTGCTTATTTTCTATTAAATATATTTTTATTACTCATTTTTTTCTCATTTTTAGTATAATCTTTAGATAATTTATTTGAAATAGTTTCTGATTTTTAATTTTTGCAGTCCTGGAGATTGAACCCAAGGGTGCTCTACCACTGAGCTACATCCACGGCCCTTTTTATTTTTTAATTCTGAGATAGAGTCTCACTAAATTGCTGTGCCTGGCTTCAAATTGCCATCCTCCTGCCTAAACCAGATTAGCTGGGATTACAGGCATGCTCCACTGTGCCCATAGTATTTGATTTTTTTAAACTGTTGAGGGAACTTTATTTTATTTATTTTTTCATATGTGGTACTGAGAATCGAACTCTGCTTCACACATGCTAGGCGAGCACTCTACCACTGAGCCATGACCCCAGCTCTAGTATTTGATTCTTAAACTACAAAAAGAAACTTCTCACACAATTTTGCAGGTAGCCTACAAACCCTCATATTAGTCTTCCACAGCCTTCTTGCTTTCTACTTCCTACAGTCATACCCAGTTCCTTTTCTTTTCTTTTTAAATTCCTGGGTCTTGATGATCTTGTAGGCAGTCTATATTTTCATTTGATATGCTAAATGTCTATCATAAGTATTTTTAATGGCATTGTCTGGGTCTACAAATAAAAAAATTGAATTAATATGCTCTGTACATGTCTAATGCCAATCACCTACCCTAATTGAGGAGAAAATTTTATATATTCAGAAGTAAAAAAAACAAAGAAAATTTTTGAAGAAAATTCTAACACTTTCCTAAATTTCACATACTTATCAGGAATTATTCATACATTCTTAAAGTAAATTTTTAATACTAAGTCATTTAAAGGAAGGTATTCTACTATTATGGCCAGCATTATTTATCAAATAGCTAATCTGCCAGCAAGTGTCCTTTATCTGCAACCAAGCAGTAGTGGTTATATGGTTGGTTGCAGAAAGCCAATTATATATTTTAATTGGACTCACATAAAGCTTTGCACTTTCATAAATTAAAACATCTATATGTTTGCTTTTCATTACTTTTAATTTCATTTTTAAAGTATATTCGTTAATTTTTATACCTGAATTCTTCTCTACTTCTACTAATACTTAAATTCTGCATCATTTATTTTAAGTTCCCAAAGTTATTCTTTCTGGTGTCTTTCTGTTGAAATTTGTATGGCTTTGTTTTAGAGAACAAAACACAAAGCACTTTCCATCATCACCTGAAAATTCATTCAAGCCCATGGCAAAAAGAGAAAAGGATCACAAAACATGTGTTTGTAGGGTGGGGCGGTGGGGGACAAGGAAAGAGGGGATAGAAAGATGGAAAATGTAAAGTCAGCAACTGTCCTTTCTTGAGATGGGCTGTCTTTGTGTTCCACCTTTAGACAATGCTTTTTTATGAAGATCATAATGATAGGTCAGTTTTTTTAATGACCTTATTTGACAGAATTAATAATGGGCAATCCTAATTTGGTCCCCCCAGATTTCTTGCAGTTCTGCTGTGCTATGAAATCCCAATATTTGAGAAGAGCCATAAAGCTGCCTACTCCCAAAATCCAGCATATATTTTCTTAAATCGAACCTTATGATGGGAATGAGTAATACTGTATGCATTAAGGAAAATATGAATATTTTAAAATCACAATTTAAAAACTAACCAGCTTTCCAGTTTGTAATCTAAAGGAAAGTTGAACATGCTTATGTTATATCGTTTACAATATAAAATGATTTTTTATAAAAGATGTTTTTCTATTTTGATTATTGAAATTCATCCAATCCATGAAGTTTAATCTTCTGATAAACAATGTACTGTTGCTTTGTTGCTTAAGAAGTCAAAGCAGAAATATTCCATTCTCATATTTCAAATCAGAGAAGTCAGAATTAGAACCCAGTATTTGATGTCTGAAATCCTAATCAGTCCTGGTGATTGTGCTCGTGAAACACAAGGACTTCCTTTGGGGTCAGCCGGGGGACTGCTGCTTCTTGTGGCTCATCTGGTGGGCCCAACTGTGGCTTGATAACCTGTTTGCTCTAAAATCATACTGTTTGTTGTTTGTCCATATGCTGCCTTCCTCCTAGGACTTCTAGCAGCAGAAAGTAGGTATCCCTTTGTTTTCCTCTAAGGTTAATCTTTTATGCAAACGTGTTTGGCTTTGCATGGTTTGTAATCAGCTTGACTTTTTCCTTGGCTGTTTGTGTTTAGATGTTTAAATCTGAATTTTAACACTGTCTGACCATGAAATGAAAACCTGGATATATTGATTTCCTGAAGTATTCTTACACGAATCTTCCCTTCTTACTTCTTTCATAAGAAGAAAAAGAGGCAGTGTTAAAATTTCAACCACATCTTACATCATTTCACATCTGAATTTCAAACACAAATACATTAATTCTGGGGAAAGGGTAATGTTTTATTTTATAGTTGGATTTCAAGAAAACTTTCAGGGTAAGTGAATTTTCATTTGACAATGACATGACCTCCAAATGGTTTCATTACTTTCTGTTACTGAGTCCATTTTCAGTTTATTAATAGGGAGCTGTGAAATAAACTCTGAAATCATGTCTCTTAACAACTTTGACTACCAAATAGATATTTGAAAGGAATAATATGATGGCTAGATTTTAATGACAAAGGGATATAATTTGAGTATGTGAGAAAATTAAAATGTAAGAAATATACACATAGAAATGAGTCTAAATAAAACTGAGGCAATCTGAATAAAATAGGTGGATTGTATCAGTGACAGCATTCTGCTTGTGATATACTATAACTTTGTAAAATGTTCCCAATGCAGGAACTGAGCAAGGTACAGAAGGCATTTCTCTGTATTATTTCTTATGAAAGCATGTAAATCTATAACTATCTCAATTTTAAAAATTAATTAAAAATAAAATAAACCTTTACCTCAAAGTTGTGTTTACTAAGAGGAAAGTAGATAAAAAGACAAAGATAAAATAGAAAATCTGGGTGCTTATAATTGAATTTATTGTCACATTTTCTTGCATAAGTTATTTGCAGCTCAAATTGCAGCCAATATGAAACTCTCACAGTATATTAATTATCTATTGCTGTGTAATGAATTATCTCATCTCAGTTTCTGTAGATGAGGAATGGGAGCCTGGTTTAGCTGAGTGCCTGTGGCTCAAAATCTCTCTCAAGATTATAGTTCAGAGCGCCCATCTCCCTTGAGGGCTGAACCACAAAAAAAATCTTAGTATATCATATGGTTATTGACAGGCTTCAGTTCCTCACTGGTTGTGGGTGTCTCTACAGGACTATTCACAACATGGCAGCTTGCTTCCCCAGCGTCTATAATCAAAGAGAGGGCAAGAGTAACAGTACCTAAGATAGAAGACATAATCTTTATAACCTTATCTGAGAAGTGATATCATATAACTTGTGCCTTATTTTGTTCATTAAAAGTGAGTCTGTAAACCCAGCCCTCACTACAGGGGAGGGAATTGATCACATGAGGGTGAGAATATCAAGGAACAAGAATCATATAGGGGTCCATTTTAGAAGCTGCTCACCACATACAACTTAATGACTATTAAAATGTAAGGCTCTTTCCATATAAGATTTAGCACTCTCCACTCTGGCGCTCGCTCTCTCTCTCTCTCTCTCTCTCTCTCTTCCTCCTTCCCCTCTTCCTCTTTCAGTTGGCCAGACCTGTCATTTGGGAATGAGCATTATGGAGTTATCAGTAGTGTTTTCCCTTAGTTAAAAAGCTTTACACAGATGGGCACCAAAGAGCCAGCAGAATGTTATTAAAGTACTTTGAAAACATTGGGCTCAAAGATGTTGCTATTTGGAAACACAGACTACTTTAATAAGCATAATGGCACTAGAATGATAGCATCTATATTCTGACAGAATACATATGGAGAATTTGCTTCCCTTAACTAATAAAATTTGAGATGTCCATACCATAATCTATACATAAAGAATCTAAAATATTTATCACCATGTGTAAGCTTTTATAATTTGAATTGGATATAACACAGATTTGTAAGTCCAAAACACAATTTCCACTGCAGGATTTACTGTTACTTATAACTTGATTGAAAACCAGAATTTGCTTTGTGCAATGTGAATAAAAGCTGTTCCAGGGGAAGCCAGCAGAGCTTGACTATAGAGGGACAAAAGGGACAGGTTTTGGAGTAATGACAATATGCACTTAAATTGGTAAATTTTAACTTAATAAAGTATACCTTAGTAAACAATTTTTAAATGTTATTGTGCTGTCAAGGAAAGGGTTTTGGGGTTTCTTTCTTTGGTTGCTTGGTTGGTTTTGGTACCAGGGATTAAACCCAAGGGTGTTTTGATCACTGAGCTATATCCCCAGCCCTTTTTATTTTTTTATTTTGAGATGGGATCTCACTAAGTTGCTTAAGTCCTTGCTAAGTTGGTAAGGCTGGCTTTGAACTTGAGATCCTCCTGCCTCAGCCTCCTGAGCTGCTGGGATTACAGGCTTGCACCACCATGCCCAGCGCAAGGAAAGGTTTTGATTGGGTGATAAAAATCTGTGTGTAGTGATATAGTGTTGTGTTAATGCATCACTAATATAATAGGAAAGAGAGATTATTGAATACTCTTCAGGAGGAGAAATTAGAGCCAATTCAGATACTAGATTTGCTAGTGATTCTGGGTTTCATAGCTATACATATAATTTAAGACATATTCACAAATTTTTATTGAAATAATTGCTAGGAAACGTAGGTGCATCAAAACTAATTGCATGGCACACTTGAGATTTGTGTATTTCACTCTTTGTAAATTTTACCTGAGAGAGAGGAAAAAGGATTGAAACCTTTACCAAAGTTCAGTTTAGGAATGAAGTGGTCAGTATTAGCCACTCTCTCATTTACTTTGAAATGAAAGAAAAATAAGGTGAATTTATGGATGGATGGTTGGCTTGTGATAAAGCAAATACAGCAAGCTGTTAACAGTTGTAGGATGTAAGTGATATGTACAGTTCTTTCCAATTTTCTGTGTTTGGAATTTTTCATAGTAAAATGTTTGGAAGGCAGTTTTAAAACAGACAGCCTACTTTGACACAGAATTTTTCAGTTTTAACATTCTACTGTTTATTTTCTGTCCTCCTTTGGGGTTATTTTTACTCAGTCAACTTTTTCAGGAGATCTTTCCACTCTTGTAATGAAATTATTCTAGACCCAAAGCTTTTATTGACTTTAGAAGCATATTTCTCTTTAAAGAAATAGGCTTAGAAAACATTTTTAAAACAGTTGATTTTTTAATATTATTTCATAATAGTAGCAGGAAATGTTTTGAGAGACTTGTATATATCAATGAAATTCTTTGAAAAAAAATAGAAGTTTTCAAAGTTAAAATGTGTGATTATCAACCTGATCGTTAAATACAAACTTGATTCCAAATGAACTAGGCAAAAAAGTAAAGTAAAATCTTATTCTGAAAGCAGGGCATAATGGTTTCTAATAAATTCATCAATGTGAAAGTTTGGATCAACAGCTCAAAAAACCCTTATATGGTAAATAACATTCAGATTAAAGACATAATAGAAATTGGGCATCCCCTCATTACCAAATGCAGATTATTTCAGTACATTGCTGAGAGTAAAACATGGTTTGGGGAGGCCAGTCTGTAGCAGAAGGAGCACAGGAGTAGAAGTCAGAGACTTGGATCCTAGGATTCACTCTTCTGCCCACTGTTTGTGGCTCTTGGATGGGTCACTTAATCCTACCAAGTCTCCAGTTTTTCAAATACAAAAATACTTAACCTCAGATTGGGGTTATTGTAAAATCACATAAGATAATAAGTATGAAAGCACTCAGGAAATTATAAACTATTACACAAATATTAGTATTAAAATAATTTTCATTCTGACTTTACAGAAACAATAGTATAAAATAAATTGTTTTCTGTGGTTAAATCTTTTGTTCTAATACTTCCTTTCAATTCTTCAGAATGTGCTCAGAAAAAAAAAATCATTTCAATCAAGTATCTTTTTTTGGAGTGTCTTTGTACAAAGCACAGGCCAGAATACAAAGACATATAAGATGCCCACAGTCCTGCCATTAAGTAAAGTGTCCTCTGAGGAGAATTTGTGTGCTATTTATTGATTGATTTTCCCCCCACAGTGGTTATAAGCTTATTCAGTGATTTTATAGGGAAAACATCCTTCTCAATCTTTGAGAAAAGTGAATAGTTCTTTCTTATGTGACAGTATTGATCTAGAAATGAATACTTGTAACAGTAAATAAGTACACACCTTAATAGGTATGTATTGTATTAATTATCACCATTGCCCATATTTAAAATCTGAAACAAATAGCAAATGGAAGGCCCCAGCAATGTCTTTGTGTCCATTTATATTTTATAATGAATTGAAAAAGTATGAGGCGCGTGTGTGTGTGTGTGTGTGTGTGTGTGTGTGTGTGTGTGTGGTACTAGAGATTTAACCCTGGGGCACTTTACCACTTATAGCTCAGTTTTTAAAACATCCCCATTTTTTAAATTTGGAGACAGGGTCTCCCTAAATTGCTGAGGCTAGCCTTAAATTTGAGGTCCTCCTACCTTAGCCCCCCTGAGTCACTGGGACTACAGGCAGGAGCCACCATGCCCAGTATTATGGTGCTTTTAAATGGGCTTGTTTCTGTACTGCAGATATCAGTTATGCACATCTACTGGATCAAGAACGTATTCTGTGGTTTTGCTGGCCACACTCAAAGTAGAAATAACAAACTAGAATAGGTGTTAAGGGAAGGTGTTAAAATGGTCAAGGGTAAAGAAAGATTTTAAGATCAGGCCAAAAATATGTTTATTCAATTTGAAAATATGAAGGAAATATGGAAGGAAAATTATAATGTTCCTACCTAATTACAGAAATTTGAAATTAGAGGCACCTTTCAGAGTCGGAAATGGACAGCTTGAGTGCAAAATACTTCTTTTCATAATTGAAAGCCACTAAGTTCATTATAAGACTATAAATCAGGTCAGAAGAGAGAAAAGATCAAGGAGGTTTAATAGACCTGTGGAGACTGTAGGTCTTGCCTCCTGGAAATGCAGGTCAACCGTTGATTTGGTTCCTTCCAGCAAAACATCCATCAGTGGGCTCATCAGCACAGATTCACCCCTTTGTGAAGGTGGTAAATTCCTGCTCATCCACCTTCTCTGAGGCTGCTCCAGCTCCTCCCTAGACAGCCTATACGTGTTCCGTTTTGTTTTTACCTCTGCTGTTTTGTTGACTCCAGTATAGTAGGCCTACTTCACACACCGCCTGAGAACCCTTTCTCAAGGATACGGCTCACATTCATGTTTTCTCTGCAGCCCATGCCTAGTACTTAGCAGAAAGCAAAAACATTCAGTAAAAGTTGGTTATGATCCAACCAGTAGGTTCAAGCTCTTCTCCAACCTCCATATCCATGAATAAATCATAGTTCTTATTGAAATTTTCTCTAGTTTCCCAGCCAACTAGTGTAGTAAGTCAGGCAGAATAGACTTTGGAACCAGACAAACTCAGGGTTTTCTGGCTCCACCACTTCCTAGCTGTGCCCTTCCTGGGCCCCTTTGAACCTAGGTCCTCTATCTAGAAAGGTCACCTGTGTTGTCCTGGCACATAATGGACAATCAAGAATTAGGAGCTGCTGTTATTACACTTTCTTAATGACTTGTTTAATTTAGTGCATATTTTGTGAATATTATAAAATATAGACCTGTCATATTATGGACCTTATATGCAGAAATTAGAGTAAATAAGTGCATACATAAGTAACCCACAGAGCATGCTGGGGAGACAGGAATGGCCCAGAGCAACTCAGGGAGTTCACAGACCAACAAATGATGCATCCCTGTTTGGGTACCATCAAAATTGCTTCCCAATCATCAGACTGGCCATCTTAGTATTTGTTTAATACAAGGTTGTTCTTATTTATATCTTATTAATAAAATGCATGGATTGTATATCAATACAAGCAATGCTGGATAGACTTGATAAAAACAGCTTTCTTTAATCCAGTTTTACTAGGATAACTGAGAGAAAATCGTAGTTAGGTTTCTGTGTTACCTGTTGACTTTTAAAAAATATACCCTCCAAAATAACAATTTCATGACTATTTTTATTATTGTAGTTTCATAAGTCCAGGAGCCTAGAACTGGCTTTAATAATTTGATAATCCTAATATCATTTAATTCTGCTTTGATGATGTGCTGGGGTCAGAAGTTCAGAGGGCATTTGGGATGGATCTCTTCATATCATCTCTTGCTTTTCAAGGCTTTCAATAAGAGACAAACAGAGAGTTGGCTTTGAACTAATTTTCTTTTTTTTTCCACTTTAAACAAATTAAAAGTCCTAAGAAAAGCAGGTAGAAGGAATTGGATTATGTTAATACCTCTTCAGGAATACCAAGGGAGATGAGGACTGACTTCTGCATTGTATATTTTTTTATTCCACTTAATATTTCTAGTGAAAGAATACCAATACCCTGGAAGGCTTAGTTATTCAAAATTAAGAATTATCCATAGCTACTTCTACAAATGAATCATCAAACTGGTACATTCCATACCATGGACTACTACCCAGCAATAAAAAGGAGAAAACAACACAAGAAGCAACCTGGATAAATCTCCAGGAAATTATGTGGCCTTAAAAAAAAAGACAATCCAAAATGGTTGTATACTGTATAATTTCATTTTCATCCTTAAAATGAAAAAGAAAATTATAGAGTGGAGAACAGATTAGTAGTTGCCAGGGATGAGGATGGATAAGATGGGAAGGAAATGAGTATGTCTATAAAAGGGCAACACGAGGGATCTTTGTGGTAATGGAACATTCCATAGCTTGATTGTATCAGTGTGAATATCCTGGTTGTGATAATGTACTAAATTTTCACACTATGTTACTGTTGGAGGAAAGTGGGTAAAAATACATTAGATCTTTGTAGGTTTTTTTCTTTTCTTTTCTCTCTCTTTTTACAAATGTGTGTGTATCTACAACCATCTCAAAATAAAAAGTCAAATTTTAAAAATAGCCATAGTAATTTCCACATGGATAGCCACATGATTTGTGGCTTAAACATCAAATCTTTAACATGATTAAATAGGGCTGCAAAAATCAGTAGCTTATATAGCTTTTTTTTGTTGTTGTTCTTATAGAAGACTTTGAACATATATATATGTACAAGAACAGAATGAAGTTTAAGTAGGAAAATAAAGTTAACTACTATTACCTTTTTAGTGTATTTCATTCTGGTTTTTTTCTGAGTTTGTGTTATATAATTTATTTTTAAATCATAATTGGGAGTATATAGTGCATATGGTTTTGCATTCTACTATCTTGAATTTTCTATCATGAGGATTTCTCTACATCTTCACAAATTCAAAAATAATGTCCATTTGGTTACATATTGCATCATATGTATATTCTGTAATTTATATAATCACTGTCAGATTTATCTTTATTTTATACAACAAACATCCTTATGTATAAGTAAGTCTTCTCCTATTCTTTTTTCCATAAGGTAGGTTTTTTAATAAGTGGAATTCCTTAATCAAGCACATGAACCTTTTTAAGGCTTTTTAATGTATGTTACCAGATTGCTCTCTAGAAAAATGGTACTAATTTACATTCTCGCCAATAAGTGCACAACAGTGGATGAGATCTGACATATGAAGAATTAGACACAGTGTAAAGTTCCCGAAGAGAAATCTATTTTAATTGAAAGCAGGGTTTATCAGTCTCAGCACTACTAACATTTTGGGACAGATAAATGTTGTTGGAGTGCTGTCCCAGACATTGTACGGTATTTATCAGCATCCCTCTCTCTCTAGATGCCAGTATCTGCCCTCTCCCTGCTGTTTTGACAACCAAAAATATCTCAAGATTTTAAGAAATGTTCCCTTGGGAAGCGAAATTGCCCCTGGTTGAGAACCACTGATCCAAAGACTTAAATGTGCAATAGAACATTTATTCTTAGACTTTCTCTGGTGTATACAAATATTCTGAAGTCTAGACTCTTAGGGTTCTTTTCTGATGGAGGATATATGTGCATATTATATGCAGAGTAAAAGAGGTCAACCATTTCTTTTTTCTTTTTTTTTAATACCTTCATTTTATTTATTTTTATGTGGTGCTGAGGATCAAAGCCAGCACCTTGCACTTCCTAGGCGAGTGCTCTACCCCTGAGCCACAACCCCAGCCCTGGACCATTTCTTTAAGGCTATGCAAATGACTTTGATACTACTCAGTGTGTATCTTTCCTTGCTATTACCTGCCAGGGGTCCTTGGTTATAAGAGGAAATGTGGCAGTGTAGTGACTTTGTCCTACAAACATGGATTGTCTTGAAACTGCATATGATATCTGGAAGTATCAGTTAGTATAGATACTCTTTGTCTTTGTCTTCTGAATAACATGGGCCCAAAAGAATGAGAATGGTTTTGGTTTTCTTGACTTTGCATGTAAAGAAAAGAAGGAATGAAGTGGGATTTTTGTAGCTAAAGTATGAGACTTAAAAATCCTCCAAAGTTTATTTTAAGTGGCAGATGCTCCCAGCAGAAGGTTTGTCTCCCACACCTACAGCGGGCTTTTGTTTCATGATGGAGTTCCCCTGTGTAAAAGGCCCTCCTGTTGTTTCTATAATATTTCAAAACACCTTGGGATCCCAACATCCATTCTTTCTGATATACAACTTGCTGCACCCAGATCTTCTAGTAGCTCAGAGTTGATGAATGTCCTTCATTCAAATAAGACAAGCTTCACCTTATCTTTGAAAATTGAAGAGCACACCAAATACATTGTTGCAAACACAAACTTTCCTGAAATACTCTGCCCTTAAATGATTGGAAACTCATTTAAACCTATCCTTCAGTAAAGACACTAGCCTTCAAGTTCTGATGTTAATTTTTTGTTCTTAAATATTAAGTTAAGGTTAGTTTGAAATTGATTTCCTGTACTAGCTTTTTCCTTTCTGTTTGCCCCCACAGGAGCAGTTTCACAGGTGCTGGACAGTCTGGAAGAGATTCATGCGCTTACAGACTGCAGTGAAAAGGACCTAGATTTCCTACACAGTGTTTTCCAAGATCAGCATCTTCACACACTGCTAGATGTAAGTCTTATTTTTTATTATTCTTTTTTTTGGGGGGGGTGCTGGGGAAACACGTTGAGTATCAAGCATACCTTTTTACTTTTCAGAAATCCTGATATCCACCCTAACAATCCTATTTCAGTTGCCTTAAATCTCTGAGAAATGTGGAAAATCATCCATCATAAATTCAGAATTGAAATAAAGTGTTTGTATAATACGAATGCAATAGCCTAGCAAGATTCAGTGGAAAAATTATATACATATACATATGTATTTATAAATTACATATGCATGCAAATGATATGTGAGTTTTTTTAAAGCACATAGCACAACCCTAATTTACTGCAGTCTCTTTGTTTCTATTAGAGGAATCCATTAATCTATAGCTGTGATTATTTTTTTAATTTCCTTTAACCGTTGTTTTAAAACATTATGCCACAAGCCTGAATATAGGAGAGAGAAAAACAAATGAGATACTATGCAATGGACTGTTGTTCACACATTTCATATTTATCATTGCTGGATTTCATAGAATCAGTATCTTTTCCTTAAAACATGAGTAGATTCCATCATTTAATATGGCAGACTCCAATAACAGCAGATTGGGACCCAAATAAAAAACAAGCTGCCCCATACATTTCTGCCTTCACTCCACTCATGGTTTAAGTAAAATTCCTTTCTTAGACAACCTGGTTTGCTTTAGCACTGAACACATTCTTGGGTGCTTCTGATGATATTAATACATGCTAGTCATTTTACAAGAAAAACCTTCCCTTAATAAGAGAATGAGGGCTGAGCATGTGGCTCAATGGTAGAGCACTTGCCTAGCATGTGCAAGGCCTAGGTTCAATCCCCAGCACAGTAAAAAGAGAGTGATATTTGCTTTGGGGTCCCAAAACTGTTTCATGCTGATTAATCTACTATATGATACAAATTACACTAGAGCAAAAGTTCCCAGAGTGTATTCTACAGAGCATCCTTCTGGGAGATAGTGATGGGTGTTACCATAGTAGGAAGGGGAAGTAGATCTTAAATTTATTGGTTAAATTATTCATTGCCCAAATAAATTTGGAAAATGCTACATTCTTTTGTACCTTTATGCAGATTCACAATGGACATTATTATATTGACAGCTCTGAGATGTCCTAAGGCAAAGAAACCTATTGAACTTTAACAGCATTTCTCAAACTAATTTTATTATGATATTTTATTTACAATCCTGTTGAGCTCTGTTTTGATGAAGACTAGTTTGGAATAAGCTAAGCCAATAGTGTTGTGTTGCTTCAGCTTCAAACTATGTTATTGTATATATCTCATATTTGGTTCTAGAATTCCATAAGTTAGGTCCGTTCAAATTAATTACCAGATTTTGGCTTTTTACATAGTGCACATATTTATCAGTGCTAACAGCTATAACAACATGTGATTCTAAAATTTGAGTGACTAATCAGAAGAAAAGCTTATCTCTTGCTCACCTGACAGTTCAATGCCAGTAGGTAAGGGAAATCTCTTCTACAAAGTCATTCAGGGACCCAGACCTCTTCCAGCCTGTGGCTTTGCTGTCTCCCGGTGCCTGGGAATTTCCTCTTCATCCCTTGCATCCAGCCAGCAGCCAGAAGAGAATATAGAGAATCTTGTAGGGTCAAGAGTAGAAATAGGCTATATCAATTTTGCCCACATTTCATTGGCAAGTACTACTAGTCACATGCCTACTCAGATGCAAGAAAGTTGGAAAATATAGTTTTGAAACAAATTTTAGTCAGAAAAAATGAAAGAAAGAAATTTACTTGACAAGATATGGAATTGAATCTTTGCTTTTGTGTAATTTATTTTTATTGTGTAATTATTATTTTTGTGTAATTTATTTTGTGTAATTTTTTATACTGGGAATCAAACCTAGGAGCACTTTACCACTGAGCTACATCCCCAGCCCTTTTTATTTTTTTATTTTATTTTTTTTAATATTTATTTTTTAGTTGTAGTTGAACACAATACCTTTATTTTACTTATTTATTTTTATGTGGTGCTGAGAATAAAACCCAGGGTCCCGCACATGCAAGGCGAGTGCTCTACTGCTGAGCCACAATCCCAGCCCAGCCCTTTTTATTTTTGAGGGAGAGAGTCTCACTGAATTGTTTAGGGGCTTGTTAAATTGCTGAGACTGGCCTCAAACTTGCTATCCTCCTGCCTCAGCCTCCCAAATCACTGGTATTGTGGGTCATGTGCTACCATGCCTGGCTGTTTTAAGCAATTTGAGTATTTCAGATTACATTTATTTTAAATAATTTAGTTGCCTTGAGCACTAGAAATCCCTTGAAATTCATTCTATTTCGTGGAGAGCTTGGTAGCATTCCATTATCATGATCTTCTTAATCATCATCACTGTTTTTGTTATGTTATTTGAATTAGAATTTAACTTCTATTCACTTGTTATTTAAATGTCTATTGTTCACTGTCATTTGGTGCTAAAAGTTTCTTTTTGTTGTTTTTATCTCTTTTTTAATAAATTAATTTATTTATTTTATAGTAGAATGCATTTTAACACATTGTACAGAAATAGAGCACAGTTTCCTAAGTGTGAATTTCCCACAGAAGTCATTCCCCCTTTTACTAGAACTAGTTAGTAAGATATTTGTAAGAAGCTGTAGAGTGGAGATTTTGTTTATTTCAATGATTAATAAGGTCACTGCTGAGTAGATTTGCTGACCTTTTTTAAGATCAAGGACTTTTTGTAAGGTAAAGGCTCAGAGTAGCCCAAATTGGTTTTCAAAGTTGTACTGCAGGGGAGGTGTTTTGTATTGCTGTTTTGTATTCAGACACAAACTGGACTTTCCTTCTGAGCCAGATTGCCACTTAGTCCCCAGTGTAGAACTTCTCAGACCTTACTAGAAATATTGATTTTGAGTATCCAAACTGAACTATTGAGTATATCTAAGTATCCAAACTGAACTATCCTTAAATGAAAGCTTCATCATCATGAATATCATAAGCCATAGATTCTTGCTCTTCTACTCTTTTTTGCATTTTAAATCTTTTTTAAAATTTATATATGACAGCGGAATGCATTACAATTCTTATTACATATATATACTGGACTTTTTGGTAGAAATAATCACAGTTTCAGAAAACATTCATAGATTTATTAAGGAAAACATACTTAAACTTTCTTTGAATTCTTTTGAATTACAAACCTAAATAAGTATCTGCATGATCAGCACCTAGCCCGGTCAGTGCAGCTTGATTTAAAAAGAAGCTATTGGACTGAAAATGAACCATGCCCATCAAAAAGACAGTGGTAGAGCCTTGCCTAGCATAAATACCAGCACCACAAAAAAGAAAAAGACACAAGTACTACACATGAACACTAGAATTCTCCAGAAATTACTATGAGGCCAAGCCCTGGGCAATGTTTGATTGCAGGTGGTTCTAAGTATCCAAACTGAACTATCCTTAAATGAAAGCTTCATCATCATGAATAACATAAGCCATAGATTCTGCTCTTCTACTCTTTTTTTGCATTTTAAATCTTTTTTTAAAATTTATATATGACAGCGGAATGCATTACAATTCTTATTACATATATATAGCATGATTTTTCATATCTCTGGTTGTATACATAGTGTATTTCTGCTCTTCTACTCTACATCCCATAAATTGGGTTTATTTAGCCTTCATTTTACTGCTAATAGGCTACATTTCAATAATATAATCAATGAAGTATTTAAGTGACTGCCATATAGAGAAATCTAATGATTAAAAAGGACTTTTATGGGGTCGGGGGTGTAGCTCAGTAGTGAAACACTTGTTTAGCATGCACAAGGCCCTGGATTCCATCCCTTGTACCTCAAAAGAACTGGTTTTTCTAATTTAAAAAAGACTTTTAAAATATTTAATGCTTATGGTACACATTAGAAAGGAAACCTAGGTATAACCAACTCTTGAGAAGGAGCTTTTAAAACATTGGCTATCCAGGGTTCAGGATGCAGTTCAGTGATAGCACCTGCCTAGCATGCACAAGGCCCTGAGTTCCATCCCTGGCAACACGCGCACACACACACACACACACACACACACACGCACGCACGCGCGTGCGCGCGCGAGTGGGGGGAGGAGAAGGAAAAAGGAGGAAGAGGAGGAGAAAAACAACTTTGGCCATTCTTTTTTCTTTCTTCCAATGTTCCATATCCCATGCTTGGTTTTTTTGTTTTGGGGTTTTTGTTTGTTTTATTTTGTTTTGTCTTGTTTTGTTTTTGGTACCAGGGATTGAATTCAGGGGCACTCAGCCACTGAGCCACATCCCCAGCTGTATTTTGTATTTTATTTCATATATTTGTTGATCGATTGTATATCATTTTATGAGAAGTGTCTGTTCAGTTCCTTGAGCCATTTATTGATTGAATTGTTTGTTTTTTTTTTCATTGTTAAGTTTTTTGAGTTCTTTATATATCCTGGAGATTAGTGCTCTATCTGACATGCATGTGGCAAAAGTTTGCTCCCAAAATGTAGGCTCTCTATTCACCTCACTGATTGTTTCTTTTGCTGAGAAGAAGCTTTTTAGTTTGGATCCATCCCACTTATTGATTCTTGATATTAATTCTTTTTTTTTTAATTTTTCATTGTGCGTTGTTCAAAACATTACAAATTTCTTGACATATCATATTCCACACTTTGATTCAAGTGGGTTATGAACTCCCACCTTCACCCCATACACAGATTGCAGAATCACATCAGTTACACATCCATTGATTTACATATTGCCATACTAGTGTCTGTTGTGCTCCGCTGCCTTTCCCATCCTCCACCCTCCCCCCTCCCCACCTCTCCCCTTCCCTCCCCTCCTCTCTCTCTACCCCCTCCACTGTATAACCCTGAGGGTCTCCTTCCATTACCATGCAATTTCCCTTCTCTCTCCCTTTCCCTCCCACCTCTCATCCCTGTTAAATGTTAATCTTCTTCTCCTGCTCTTCGTCCCTACTCTGATCTTAGTTACTCTCCTTATATCAAAGAAGACATTTGGCATT